AACTTACGCGTTCGCATGCCATAGTGTTAATGAGTAGTACCTGCAGCAGCAGAAGTGTGAACATTTGTCTGTGCATCCTTCGTATGTTCTCGCTAAATCTTGGTGATTTTAATGCATTCTTGATCTTTATAGCTGAATAAGTCATAATGCCTATTTGAATCGACATCATTAGAAGGTTACTTGCAATCAAATAAAGCATCAAATGGTTTTCACCAGCGACCTGAATTGGATCAGGTACGGTGAACTTTTGATTATGACTGTCATTACACTAAGCGAATTTCTTACCTCCAGAGAATAACTGATCTGCGGACTATCAAACAGGTTGACTCCAAACTTTTCAAACACTACATCACTGAGTCCCTCAGTAGTTTGCTGGTATGGCCAAAAAACAGTGTAAACGACAGCTAGCCATACTGATAATATCGTGCTGTTAACGATAACAGTAGCAGATATACCATAACTAGACTGATAAATGCTTATGAAACGAATCCTAAAGCATTAAGATTGAGATTTCTTCAATGCTGTCTTCCTTTGGCACTCCCATCTCGGAGACTTTATTCAAATGCGCTATACCTGCAAACGTGTACGTATCTGTAAATGAAGCTGTTCGTAACAATAATAGAGAGGAACAGAAAACGAAAGCGAATAGGAGCATTACGATTTGTCCGCCAGAATATGTAGATAATGGGCCCAGTCCTACGAGAACTAACGCAGAGTCCGAAGCAAAAGTAACCTTTAACTAAATAACTGTGGAACACTGACAAAAGCAATACCGGGACATATTATACAATAATCAACTTCATCGTATGGATTGTTACCATTTTTACACTCACCGGGACAATGAGCGCGACACACAACGAGTAAAATATATTCTGCAGGGCCGTGAGTAAAAAGAAGTATTTATATGACTTGATTACTCTGACAGGGCAGACATAGTAGATATAGAGTAGGTAGATGTTTGCAAGCTCTGAGAGGCCAGAGATAATTTGGCAAACCAACATGGAAGTTGGGCTCATATAGGATGCGGAAAGATTTTTCGATGCATTCTGCAATTTAATAAATTATAGAAGTCATATTTGTTGCTGGTTTGAATCAAATCACCACAACTGTTCACGAATACGCGCTACTGAGCATGCTAAGCCACGTAAATGCCAACATTTCACCTGAGAGAGTTTGTGTATTGAACTGAGTTGTTTCAAAATTGCACGCGTTTTCGAAGTTCAAGTTTGACTCACTTGGACTTTTTGGAGATAATTATTGTGAATGCTATACACTGTATTAGGTCGGTCCGAAAGTTCGCGTTGTTTTTCAGACCCATGCTCAAACCACTTGGAATGCAGTACAAAAGCTGGAAGCACGATCCGATGCAGAATTTCTTCCTCTTTCTAACAGTTATGTTCTTGTTCAGATTCCCTTGACGTCCACTCAATAATCGGCAGGGATCGCCAACCCATGATTGTCGCCCATCTTTAGTTTGACAATTTTTTGAAACTTCCATTTTCAACTTTTGGACTAGCTTCGACAACAGTTGGATAGAATAAACAAAATGCAATACAATACATTTTTCTGGCATCTCTAGCTGGCTTCTCAAAATTTTTGAAAATATTATTCTGATGCTATCAAATTCCATCTTCCCATACCTCAATCTCACAGAACAACAAACGACTAGCAACCAAGATGTCATTCGATGCAGGTTTTTCTCCTTTTCCTGATGGACATCTTTTCTTCCTGATTATAATATTTGATGATAAAAGTTACAATTTTTGTTTTCGGACGCGTCCCAGGCTGTACCCAGAAAGTTCGAAATTCAATATTTCGAACACCTAAACGCTCAGTTGCTTGCTAAGATTAGTGCTAAGTCATAACTGTTTTTGGAAGCTTCAAATTCCGAAGTTTTGTCAGTGTTTGAAGCGATGGTGTATTTCACTACTTCGCAAAAGTAAGGACTTATGGGAAAATTGTTTTAAAAAATACTGAAGAGTTGGTTTATGAAGCCGAAATAATTCGTTGTATTGCATTTTGTTTATTCTATCCAACTGTTATCAAAGCTAATCCAGAAGTTGAAAATGGAAATTTAAAAAAATAGAAAAACAAGGTGGGTGAAAATCAGGGGTTGGAGATCCCTGCCGATTATTGAGTGGACGTCAAGAGAATCTGAACAAGAACATAACCATCAGAAAGAGGAAAAAATTCTGCATCGGATAGTGCTTACAGCTTTTGTCTATCTCCATTCTAAGCGGTTTGAGCATGGGTCTGAAAAACAGCGCGAAGTTTCGGACCCAACTAATATTTGATTACAAATCTCTAGCAAGTTTACGCATGTTCAAAAATTATTACAGCAACAAGGAGGAAGATTTTCTAAGCTAGAATTGCCAAACATTCAAGTTTAGGAACCCCAATTTGACCGTAACTCGATAACATGGTAGAATTGCGCAAGCACTGCTCACTTTCTAGTCAACAGTCGCCTGAGTAGCATTGCTGACCTCAAATACCAACGACTTGTTCACGAAAATTTTTGCAAAAAAAGTCGGAACTTTTCCACAAAAAATTTTTACGATTCGAAAAGACTCACTTATTTCGCTTTCTCTGAGGTGAAAATGGAAAATGCGTTTTCTGATTTTTTTTCGCTGCTGACAATTGAAATGTTCTGGTTTTTCAAGTATTATATGTTCTACGCTCAATCTTGTTATACATAGTAAAGGTTCCGTGACTGAATTGCGCTCATCATTCATCTTCAAAAAGTCTCAACGACAGGTTATGCTATAAACTTGAATATTCAAAAATATTTTATGATCATACCTCGATAAGCATCTCGTAGCAACCTTACATATGTATCAAAAGACAACCCCTTCTGGCTAGCAGGCGACATCGCAAAAAGAAGAAATTTCTTATTTATTTTGAAATTACAGAATCATAGAATGAACAAAGCTCTATGATAATAAAAGTACGCAATAAAAACTAGAAGTAAAAAACATTCAAGTGACTTAAGAACGTTTATAAAAATTGTTTTTCCCTTCAGATAGCAGTATAGAGTGGTGCAAAAAACGGGTAGAAGTTTTGAAACAACCCAATAGATTATCCTAGAGTCGTTTATAACTTAATAAGTGATTCTGCACACTATCCGCTGCAACCGACGATACACTAGCTTCCCAGTTCCCAGCTTCTTTTGCGCAACAAGCTGTAGACGTTCTATTCACTAATACCCACTCAGACAATCGCCGGGGGCAGGCGGGCACCGGAAAGATAGATTGCTGATCTCTCGCACCCCGCTCGCGGATTTTTTGGAAAACAATCAGGACTTTTCGGAAGACCGCTTGCTGAGTTCTCGATTCCTCAGAGATTCAGCAATATATCTGCAAAAGATAAAAGCGAAAAAAATTCAACAGGTCTCTCAAAAATCCGCTGACTCAGCAAGCGGTCTTCCGAAAAATCCTGATTGCTTTCCAAAAAATCCGCGAGCGGGGTGCGAGAAATCAGCAATCTATTTTTCCGGTGCCCGCCTGCCCCCAGCGATTATCTGAGCAGTCAAAACAAATGAGACAAGGAAGCAAGGAGAATCATTGGATCAATTCTATAATTCCAACCTTATCACTTCTGATCTTACAAGACGTCAAGTGTCACGCATAGTGCGCAATATGCATATTAAGTTACAAATGACTCGATAATATGTATCAGTAGACAGCAGATTGGTAGTAGTAATATTTAGTAACAGATTCTTGTTGCACGTAAAATTTCTCATTAACCGACTACAACAAGATATATGGGAATCACAAGCAGACAATAATCTGAAGGATAGACATCAATCATGCAATCTAACCTAACATAATTTAGATGAGCATTTTTTGATCTACGTGGAGCGAAATCTTAAAATCTGTTTTTGATGAGCTGCTATTTATTGGTCAGCTTATGACAAAGATGGATGTTGATAACTCCTATTTTTGGATACCATAAAAATTAAAGGCACACATACACATAATTACGTCGGATATTCTGCTTGTTAATTGAGGAAGATTATTAAGAAGACATAGGCGACTTTTGCAACTAGAAAACCAAAAAGTGCCCTACTTTTCAGCATTACGATCAATGGAATAGTTTCAGTAATGCACCTGTTGAAGCAATGAGCCAAAGCATATGGATAATTAGATGTTCTATCGCGTCTTGAGCAAGAAGAGTAACCTGTAATCCATTGATCTTTAGAGGGCGAACGTATCAACTGCAGTACTAGATATTTGCAGTGGAGAAAGAAACTTAATTCCCCAAAATTATGTACTTACAGGGTGCGCCAAAATTATTACCAAAATTATTAATGAACCAACTCAGCAGTACGACGAAAATCCCTTGAGAGTACTTTATAAAGAACACTTTTCAGATTCGAAAAAGCCTCTACTGAAATCAAGCGCAAATGTTGCGTGTGTACAATGGCAGCATATGATCCTTAATCTACTCAACCGTTGGAGTCCGTCAGTTGCTTGACATGGTAGAATTTCCGATTTCTCGACTCATTCCGTCTGCTCACCAGTAGCTCACGCAAAAACTTCAAGAAATGTCAGCTAGCATACTTCCGTGAGAAGATTTAGTAGACACCGAGCATAGCGACAAGATTTTACCGTATAGTAATCCCCTGCGCAAATCACTTCGATAAAAGGAACGGGTTAAAGAGTGAACGATTTCGAAATCTTTACAAGAATTGTCCAGTGGTTTTGAAGGAGCCATATGAAATTGCCTGCGGCACCTGCTCACACAGTGCGAAGCCTCGTCTATGTTGCGGTTGATCTTTGAACCGAATGATACTTTGTTTACTAGGAAATTTAGTGACTATTGACTTGATGGCGGTACATTTTTCGGGTTAGATGGAAAATGGAGCGAGAATCACTGTCACCACAATTTGGTTATACATGTAGAAGGGAGCCACAAATCAGGTGCCCAAGAATTATCAGCAATCCATTTCCTCGTCCCTGATTTCAGCACATTAGTTTACCTTCAGTATGTTTATCATGATTGTCGAGAAATAAGATCACAACGTTTAGAATTTAGTCTCTGGCCGGGTTTCGATCCATTTCTTGAGCGCGGGATTTGAGCGGACCTTTTCGGCATGAGCTTTGATCTAAAAGAAAACAAGTTAACCTCCATTCTTCTCTTACTAAAATATAATGAGAGCTGAAGCTTACTTCTGGATACCCATCATAGAGCGTGGGAATTTTCTTGGCTACTTCAGCGGAAAATTCCGCCAGAAGAAGGTCGGCGATGGTTATGGAGCTGCCAACGAGATAACCTGTAGATTTTCTTGGTGTAAAATATGGTACAACAGCAGTCAAAAGCAAGGTGCTTTATACAATACCAACCGCTGCCATTCTTCTTCAAGAAGTTTGTCATGAAACCAAAGAATTTATCGCGTGCAGGAACGAAAACATCTTTTGTGAGCTTGTCCTGTAAATTCAATGGAATATCATTAGAAAAGAGAGTATTCAGAGTTCATTGAATAGACTTCTGATGAAAATCTGATCGGAATCATCAAAAGATGTATAGGCTCATAAACTTTTTCCTATGGTTCATTTTATGCCTGGTACTTTATAAAACTGCTCGAAGACTGCTTTGAAAATGCACTTTCTTGTAAAAAAAAATTAAAAAACCATTAATTTGCCTTTCTCAATAACGTTAGAAAAGAGTCCTACACTGTAAACTGGAAAACCGAATGTTTTCAGCACTTCATAGAGTTTGGTGAGCAACCCCTATTTTTTCACCTTTTGATACTTTCAAAAAAAAATTCTGTTTTATATTTTCAATTTTTCGTAGAAAAACTGCTTGAGCATTATCGTGTAAAGCGACACCATGCTGATGAAGTCAGAACTTTCTGTTTGCTACGAAACCTTTTGTCCAACTGTATACCTATCTAGGTTCAACTAACCAAACAGCTAAAGCGAACTACTACCGAAAGAAGATATTGCAGATCCTTTCCAAGTCGTGCTTCGAGAGCGAGAATATGGGAGTTGACAGCACATGAGAGCAGAGACTTTTTTAGATCATTGTGTTGTTTGCACTTTTTTTTTGAAGAAAATGAGAATCAACAGATATGATGATCCACTCCCCCTCACTCCATCGACATTCAATCCCTTACTCTTGCAACTTACAATATCTCCCTGAGCGAATCCCATCACTACCATGAGAAGCGGACGAATCTCGTTCATAAAATCTTTGTACTGATCCATGAGCGAATCGACAAGTGCCTCTTCGAAGGGGCATTTAGGCGAGAATCCTTTAAATAAGTGCTCTAATTTCAACATCAACTGGTAGACTTTGATTTACCAAATTGTTTAGCAAGGAATCGAGCAATGGCGAATGATTGTGCCAGTTTCCATGTCTTCTCGTTGCCAGGCAGTTTTTGATGGTCTGGTGATTGCGCCACTTCTTTCAAATCAACCTCAAGCACTGGCAACTGGCCAAATGGCATTTCTGGAGATAAGAAGCATTCGTAACTCTTAGTACATTGAAATAAATCTAACATACGCGGTTTCAGTTTCTGCCACTCATCGCGCGAAATTCGGACGTCCTCGTATTTCTCACCAGCTAGGGCAAATATCTAGAAATTTAAGATGAATGTGTCACAAATGAAAATAAAGGTCTAGAAAAGCTGCACCTGACGGATGACCTCGGCTGTTCCGCGACCGTCGAAGTAGGTGAGTTTGTAGGAAACCATTCTGGAAGTATCGATGAATGGTAGGAATCAGAACATAAATCAAGTCTATTAGCGGAACAAAACAAAAAAAAAAGAAGTTCTGAGAAAAACAGTTCGCAAATATGGATATATATGCATTATTATTCACCGTTGTGTGCCTTGGAACATTTACATTCGTACAAAATGAATTCATGTACGATCTCTACATGGAATTTGATTTTACCAGTTTGATAAATTAGGTATATCTTAGCAGAAAGATTTGGCCACATTAGCTTTTACAGAATCTTTTGAAACCCCGCATTACTTTCAGATAAGCCATTAGTCTTTGCGCATACTGACAAAGGAACAAAAATGAAATTATCTGCATTAAATTTGCCTCCTTGAAAATGCAGAGAGTCTGCAGCAAGTGAAGAAAATGGCTACTTCGACAAATTGCACAGTCTCACACTTTCCGAGCGCGCGGAAATTTATAAAGATAACTTCTTGGTTGCTAAGAATGTCGGAGAGTGAAAAACTTGGAATGGTCACTCCAAAGCCCTACGGCCACCCAGTAATATTTGAAAAACATGTTATGCTGACAAAGAAAATGATGACCACAATGTTGAACTTGTTCTGGCGATAAGAGGCCATGACCAGTCTCTCTGGTCATAAGCAGATGATTCAGTGGAGAATAACAAAAATGTTATTGCACTGATGCACGCGGTATCGCAGACTTATTTTTGGATCCACAGAGTTCCCAGCATACAAAATAATATCATCAAATGGATGGAAATTGTTGAAGTCTTTGAGATGTCTACGAAACAATAGGAGTGGCTGCAGCCTCGAACAGCCATTTTTCGGTCAAAGTTCAGAATTGACGAGCGTTCGGCCGATGGCACCGCAACTTTTGGAGGTCGGAGGTTAGGAATGGCGGTATCAATGGGAGCCAAAACGCTCAAGGACAAAACTTCTTTGACAAATTGTGCAAAACTGGCAACGCAAAAAAATTCTTACGATGGGTATCTATCAAAACCTTTTAAGTATACACGCAACCATCAACAGATTTGCATGAAAATAAAGGCTTCTTTAAGAGACTGTCAATGTCATTTCCTGAAAAGTTTGACAAATGTCAATATATCTACATATATTAGGACGTCCCGAAAGTTTTGTCGGTTTTTTTCATCGCTCACCAAACCACACAGAACACCTATCCATGGACGGCCTAAGTGTCATTCTATTCAATTTGTATCCTCTTTCTTATGGCTATATTTGTTCCCTGATCTACCCCGTCTTTACGATATTATCGCCATGGCTTTTTGAGCACCTCAGCAATAGCGCCAAAACTTTCCTGAATTTTCAAAATTTATATCTTGATATTTTCGATGAGCGCTGGTGACTGTTATGTAGGGCAAACCTTTGGCTACATTGTACTTATTTTAGATTACGTGGACCACGTTTATAATGCCCGTAATAATTATTTATTTGAGAAAAACCGCGGCTTTTAGAACACGTTTTATCACGTATAATTACCGAAAATTCCAAAAAGCTGGTTTTTGAAGCAAATCAAACTTGGTTATGTTGCGTAAATGATGCTATATAACAAACAAGTTTAAATTCGCAAAAACTCAAAAGCTTTCATGCTTTTGCTGCAATTGCGCGTTTCATGACTTTGCTAAAAACCAAGGCCTCCGGAGAAATGATTTTTGAAGTTAAAATCAGCAGATTAAGAGAATCTAAAAATATGAACTTGTAGCCCGAGAGTTGCTCTATTTGACCCATACTTAGTCTTTTTCGAAACTTTGTAAAGAAATTTTTGAAAATTAGCTCTACTTTGAGCAGGTAAAATTGACAGGTGGAGACTTTTGGCAGTTATCAAAAAAAAGCATACAACATTATGGTATGACAGTGTATCCATAAGAAAGAGAAGGAAAAGCTGCATCGAATGCATGTTGAAGCTCACTCAAATCTTCATTGTGCATGGGTTTACAGTGGTTTGAAAAAACCGACAAAACTTTCGGGACAACCTAATATTATGTACCGGCCCAGTACTATCCTAGATACCGCAATAAAAGGTTTTTGTGGGAAAATCATTAGCGCTCACGGGATGTTCCTCGCAGACAAACATTCATGGTCTATTTATGGGTAACAAGAAATCGAGAACGAAATATATGTGGTGAACAGGATGACATTTCCGATTTTCAATTGTTACACACATAATATGCACTTAGAATACACTATGCGTAATAAACAGATAATTCGAAGAAGAAATCAGAAAGCTATAAAACTCCATTTACTGCAATCAGGGCTCGGCACGAGCTGGCACCAGGGAAATTTCAAAACGAAGTCCCGTTTGACATTAAAAATTTCGTACGAAGTCCCTTTTGACCTGTTTTGAAAACCCGTCATCAGTTTTATATTATGTAAAAAAATGTAGTAATGTTTTCATGCATTTCTGATTTCATGAAAGAACTTTTCACACCTTTCTGAGCTTTTTAAGTGGTCGAATCACATCTTGAAAAGCAGAAAAAGCCGATTTTTTGACTGCGGAGCGGGCCGAGTGGTTTTCAAATTGCTATAAAACGCTGAAAAGAGAACATTATGAAACTGTTTTTTCTCCGTATGTAATCTTTTACAGTGTAGATACATTTTATGTAAAAAAAGTATGAAAACTTATGTGAGCAAAGTGTTGGTGCCAGCTCAGCTGGCACCCAGGTGGCACTGTGCCAGCTAATTCAGAAAAAAGTTAGGCACAGCTTTCATTCACATAAGTTTTCATAAATTTTTGGCCCGTAGTTCCGGTCCACCAACGCGCATGCACACACCAAATTTGGTGTCATACTATTGCGTTTTGGCTGAAAACAACGCCTTTGTTTGTTGATGGACAGCTTGCCAATGGCATGCCGGTGGCATGCCGGCGGCATTTTTGCGGCAGTTCTCCGCCTCGGCCCCTGTAGAAACGATATCCCCTTTGCTTTCCGCCCTAAAAACGATATCCAGCTTGACCCGGTGCCAGCTGTGTTGAGCCCTGACTGCAATCCAAAAGCAAACTTTCAAATTCTTCCGATTTCGCATAAAAGGTTGTTCGACTGATCACAAAAATGACGTTCATATCTCATAATAAAGCTTTTTCTTATGAGGTTACAGGGTTACTATATAGGCTGTTGGGGAAAAATCTTCAGGTTCCCTGCTTTGCAACTCTGCAACACTACCTGCTCGTTGAAATTTAAGTCTCACAATCAGTGTGAGATTACTGGTAACCTATACCGTGTCTAAAGCAATAACCCCAAGCAAATGCAATGCGGTGAACTTTATTTCCATGAGCAGCAGATCAACCATCTGTGGCAAAGTTCTAGCAAAATCTGAGGTGGAGGTTACTATACACTTGGGAATACATCGGAAAAACTAGCAATCTTTTGTTGACCATGAACAACGCCTATAATATAGCTTTCTTGAGAGAATTACGTAACTGGGTTCAGGGATCAAATGAGGTACATCAAAGATCTGTCTTAAACGCTGGACATTCACCAGTTTTCATGAAATAAAACTACCCTAAAATCTTACAGATTAGTCCGCTTTTTGACCCAGATAGGGCCCTTCAGTTCGCCCTACAGATAACCTTTTTCTTTCCACTACAACTACTCTAAAATTTTGTCAGATAACTCTGAAGACCGTTGAATAAGTCCAAACTTATCTGCAGACGGACTTATCTGATGGGAGACCCTATCTGTGAGATAGGGTACCGTATTTAGTTATCAAGTCCGCAATCGTATTATTGAAACTTCGCTAGCTACTGCACATAGCATTGAGAGTTGTTGATTATTGCCGTTGAAGCAGCTCAGGCAGAATGACACCTTTAGGATATTCATCGCTCTCGGTTCCCCTGAATGCGCTAAGCCCAAGACTGTGCTTTGCAGCTTCAAAAGATCAATAATCCGCTTTACCGGACGTGAAAAGTGCTATTTGGGCGGACCGCGTATGCCTGCCTTTTATAGCGCGATTGGCTCGTGAGTGAAAACACCGCACTCATCTTAGCAGCATGGATTATTGGCCTCAGCAGCCACCTTCGCGACGCGCCCAAACAGCGCCACTACGCCACTGGTGCATGCGTGCAATTACAGCGCATAATTTCCAGTCAACTACTGTAGAGGTCCCACTTTCGCTCCAGAAACTCTGATTCTCACCATCATCGAGCTCACCGCACTGCCACCACAATCACCCAAGCAGGGCTCGGCATGAGGTGGGTTTTCATTTTTCATTAACGAAGTCCCCGTAGATTTCGCCACAAAAATACGACATCACCTATGACGTGATCATGAATGAATCAGAACGAATAAAAATATTGGAACAAAACATAAAAACAACTTTGAACAGACAAAAGAACTAAAAATGTTTGTATTCTCCGGATTAGCGACATGCTGTGTCCGGCGCGCACTATTGCGCGCTTGGAGTAGCTTGCCGCCGCCATACAAAATATTTGGAAGGCTGTAACTAGGCGAGGAAGAGGGGTCCAGTGTGATTCAAAAACTCAAATGCAGGGTGTTTGATGTAGAACAAAGTTATGTTAAACATATGGACAAATCATGTGAAGGAAGGGCACTTTATGTCTTTTTCCTTTTACAGCCACCTTATGTGTGTCCAGGTGGCTGGAAAGCCAGCTAAGTCCGAAAAAAGTTTGCCACGCCTTCACTTCACATAATTTTTTCATGATTTTTCGCACATAGTCCTAACTCCCTATTGTCCATCCACACACCAATTTTGGTGTCACATTTTTTCCGCTGTAAACAAGTCGTTTGTTTATTTTGAGGTAAGTTTAATTCGCGCGCTTAAAGGCAGTGGATCGGCAAAATCCAACAACTCGAGATTTTAACGCGGTAGGTTCCTTATCGCCCAACTATGAGAACAGTGCAATCCCGGTTGCACATGCTTTCCCTGCCGAGAAAATCGCTCTCGAACTTATACGCGCAGGCCAATCTTACACGCATCTGGACGAGTTGGCAATTTCCTCCTCACCATTGGAGGCTGCCCGCCGCAACGCTATAACCATTGCAACGATTTAGCGTCATCAGCCTTGCTCCACTCGTCCGATATCAAAGGGAAGGGCACTAAAAAACGCTCATTTTCGCCGTTTTCAAGCTTTCAAAAGTGGAATTTCGGGAACAGCGTATTGGAAAAACCCAGGTGCGCAAATTTGACTAGGTTGAGATTTGCCGAACCACTGCCTTTGAGCGGCGACCCTAACGAAACAGGAAGTTTCTGGTTTTTGCAGGAATGGGATCGATAAGGCAGGGATGAAAAATTTGTGTTCTCTATAGAAAATGACAGGTAACATGAAGGAAGAAGGCGATTATATGTGTGGGGAGGGGGGGGGGGGGCGGGGCTAAGGTTTCCGCGTAAACGATACTTCCCTTGCTTTTCAATCCAAAATGATATCCAGCTTGCCCCGTAAGCCACCTGTGCCGAGCCCTGCACCCAAGCCTTGGAAAGCACTGTGCCACAATACATTTGTGAGCGCCTGATTAGATCCCAGAACTTCGCGTACAGATCGCATGCCGTATATGACCGTTTGCCTGTCGGATCTCCTGAGATAAAAATACAGGGTTAGGGGAAAGTCTTTGAACAATTTTTAATGTCACTGTATGTTCGGATTTTCCACATATTCTTGCATGCTAATTATATGTATTTGCTTCTTATACCCTTACTTACAAGCCCTCCAAAAACTGGACTACTAGCTTCATCTCTGTCGGAAATATGCCTTTTGGAACGGAGCGAGCTTTGGTGGCGAAGATGCACGAAGAGGATGGCTAAACACAGATTGCGCGGGTTCCCCAAACTTTACAAATCAGCGTCTTTTCCACCTTGCGTCATTTCCAGGATATGAACAGCACCCAGAACTGCTGTAAGAGTGATAAATTGGCTACTGCGGACACTCACAAAATTCTGAAGATCGTTCGCCAGCGCCATCGTTGCAATCCTCGGAGAAGATCGATTGAGCTGGGTTCAAAGCTGTTCACCTCTGTTAGAAAAGTCTCCGACATCGTGGAACAAGGCCTTGGGATGAAGCTTTTCAAGATTCTAATAATTCATGGTGTTTGGAAAGATACGAAGCCGATTTGACTGCGCGGATGCCATCGAATGCTTGAACGTCTCTCCGAGGCACGCCACCAAACATACTCGTTCTAACGTCAAAATGTTCACCGTGAAGCAGGTTTTTGATCTCCAAAACCACAGAGTCATCACCTAAACGCCTCAAGAAGCCAATAGCAAGGGTTGACTTGCAGAAGGAAAGCTTTATCCGGTTTTTGTGACCATTTGCGCGGCGATCCCGGCAGCAAATTGCCGCTGATTTTTAGTGTCTCAGTGCTCAAGGTGGACACTGCCACGCATGTGAATGGCATCATGAAGAAAGAATTGTAGGCCTGGACCTATACATATCTATTTGCTGTTTGCTATTTGAATATCTATTTGCCGGGAGTGATTGATGCTCACAACAGGATAGCGCACCTGCGCACTAAGTGAAGGTTGTTCAAGAATGGCTTCAAAGCAACGTTAAGGACTTCATTAATCTTTTGGAATGGCCTCCGTATTGGGCGGATCTGAACACCCTTGACTATCGCATGTGGTCAGTTCTTTAGGCCAAAGCCTGCGTTCACTCACGCGAAACTGTGGAGTCACTGCGACATGCTCTTCAGAATGCGTGGGAGAAAATCGACGTGGGGTACCTCCGTGCCACCATGGACAGCTTTCCCAAGCATCTTTGAGCCTGTGTTCGTGCCAAAGGAGGGATCTTTGAAATGTAAAGTTGCTTTCATATAGTAGACTGTTTGATAAACATTATATATTTATTTCATGTAAATATGTTGCCTAGTTTCGTGACTACGATTTCAAAGACTTCCCCCAATCCTGTATATAAAAAAATCAAACTCAGAATTGCACATTGTCTAGAGGTGTGCTGCTTCTAGAGATAGACGCTCAGAAATCGCTTCTTTATCAAAACACCCTTCAATGTACTACGTTAAATTAGGACAGAGTGCATCCTCCCAGTTATATAGACGGCAAAAAAAGAGATCCTCGTCATATCATTGCGCGAGCAAATGTGAACAGAATTATCACAGGAATCTGCGTAGTGGCGCTACCCAATCCGGGCATTGTCCCGCCCGAATTTGAACTGATCCTTGGACCAATTGGTCTTTGTTTATCAGGAAATCCGCATTGAATCGGAAATTTCAAAATTTTTCATGCCACTTAGGGAAAATGTTGAGCAAAAAAAGTCCGCCAACTATATAAGTGCTACGAGCGCAGTAGGAAGTTAGAAAACGATGACGAATTACTCAATAATCCATTTTCTATTTAGTATCCAATTTAGCTCCTGATCATTGATAATAGATATTATTGGAAATAACAACAATATTAGACAACATGCTTAAAATTTAGTCTCTGGCCGTGTCTTGATCCATTTCTTGATCGCAGGATTCGAGCGGACCTTTTCGGCGTGAGCTTTGATCTGGAACAATTATCGGATATATGCTTCGTCTTCTATGTCCCTGAAGCCTTACCTCTGGATACCCATCATAAAGCGTGGGAATTTTTTTGGCTACTTCAGCGGAGAATTCCGCCAGAAGAAGGTCAGCAATGGTTATAGAGCTGCCAACGAGATAACCTGCAAAATTCCCCGATCATTATAAGGCAGCGGAAATGAATCAGATTGTCAAATGACTAACCGCTGCCGTTTTTCTTCAGAAAGTTTGTCATGAATCCAAAGAATTTATCGCGTGCAGGAACTAACACATCCTTTGTGAGTTGGTCCTGTAAAGTGATTCAGATTTGAAATGATTTTTACAACCAATTCTGTCTAAAGCTTTCCGGACACATTGTCACATTTGTCCTGGGAATTCTCCCTTTTTCTGATTTTTTGCAAAAACGCTCAAGAGCGACATCTAATCCTTACCAAAAATACAAAAAGAGACTCAAAAACTTCCTGAGGAAATGAAATTTTCGAGATGGAAATTGAGAAAACCACAAGATATACCAAGCCATGTAACTGCCACAAGTCTCCAAACTTTAAAAATCTTCTTCTGAACTTTTACAGCTAATCAGCGGCAGCATTATTTTGAAACCGTTGATTAAAGCTATCTGTTTGTCATAGAGATTTTGGTATGGTCATCTGAATTATCTGGCTAGCCAATACACCTAAAGCCGCGGCAATCGAAACTTTCTGGTGAAGGAAGACAAAAAATTTCCTAAAATGGGAAAGCGTGACATTGACAAAAATTCTTGGGATCTGAAACTAGTTAGCATGTAAAGCTAAGAGTCCGCTCCTCTGGTTGTATCACTTTTAATTCCTTACTTTTGAAACTTACAACATCCCCCTGTGCGAATCCCATCAGTACTTTGAGCAGCGGAAGAACCTCGTTATGGAAATCTTTGTACTGATCCATGAGCGAATCCACGAGTGCCTCTTCGAAGGGGCATTTTGGCGACAGTCCTTCAAAAGAGCTCTTGACTTCCAAAAAACCACTAAGTTCTCATTTACCGAATTGTTTCGCAAGGAATCGAGCAATGGCGAATGATTGCGCCAGCTTCCTTGTCTTGTCTTTGTCAGGCATATCTTGGTGTTCTGGTGTTTGCGCCACTTCTTTTCCATCAATTTCTAGCACTGGCAGCTGGCCAAACGGAAATTCTAAAAATAAGCGTGGATTCCTTGGCATTAGAGTTGATCTAACATACCAGCTTTCATTTTCTGAAACTCTTCTTGCGAAACTCGGACATCCTCAAATTTTTCGCCTGCAAGGGCGAAGATCTATAATTTCGAAATAATTGTGCTACAAAGAAAATCGAAGATGTATAGGTTGATGCAAAAACAATGGTAGGTTTTTCAAGCTTTTTTCAGGGCAACTTTTTTATCAACATTTTTTTGTAGTAGATGCAGCACAATATCTAGAAGCTGTTTTCGCTCTACATATTTGATATTGGTTGGAAGTTGGATTCCAACCTCATTTTGCATAAAATTAGTGAGCTTCAAATAACCGCATCCAAGCCCAGAATTTTATTGCATTCACTTTTCTGGCCAGAATTCGAGCGCGTATGAATGGCGCTTCTGCGAAAGTTTAGCCATTGTATGTGGTAGAAATTGTCTACATTACGTTTACTTCAGTGATAGTGGCTCCCCCCCCCCCCCGGAGAAAGGGTCGCGAAATTTTTGAAAGTTACTTATATAAGTTAAGAAGTGCAAGCGACTTGTTTATACTTATAAATAACTAGTTGACTTATCCGGCTCCGCCTGGCCCTGTCATTATTATATTCGTAATCAGCATGCTCGATTACCCCCCCCCCTGTGCCAACTCCCGGCCCCGTAGCTCAAATTTTGCAAAAAATCGATAAAAATTGATAAAATCGATATCGATCGATGACGAAAAGTGGCCTATGACACCCGCCGGGGCCCGATGTGTATGTGTGCCAAGTTTGGTCCGGATCGGTTCAGAAATGGAATTTTCTATTCGGAACATACGTACAGACATAGAGACATACAGACATACGGACATGCAGACATACAGACATACAGACATACAGACAGACAGACAAACAGACATTCAGCTTTATATATAAGATTGATATAATGTGTAAAAAAATTTTGATTCAGTTTAGCCTTATAAAAAAGTTTTCGGGGGCGTGGCTGACGCCACGCTCCCTTTTACTGAAATTTCGGGATTATGGGCCTTCAAAGATTCCAGAAAGCTTATCAAAAAAGTTTTCGGAGAGCGTAGCTGACGCCACGCGCCTTCATCAGAAAAAAAACATTTTGTCGCTCGCCCCCCCCCCCCCCCGAACGGAAATCGCCACTGGTATGTTTGACAGTAATTCTTAAAGTCATTGAGACTACGATTTGGCGCCTCAACATGCGTACCGTTGTAGTCATTTATGACCCATAAATCTCTTTAAGGAGCCAATCGTTAAAGATTTGTTCAATTCTGTAAGCTTAATGCTGGAGCATCCTACTAGCAGTTTTGCAAAAACATCCAGCTGTTACACAGAAAATCAGAAAATTTTGTATTCGGGAGTTTGAAGCACGCCGAAAAAATGATGCAATAAAGTGACAATCTTAACCCTTTCGCAAATTTTTTCCAAACTCTTCTCATCGTATTTTGTACTATCGGTTTGCGGCTACAAGATAGGCCACTCATCAGAATTTATGAATTGCTGAAGGCAAGGTTTTAGGAAACACCTTTATGCTTAAAAATTCATATTTTTCTGCTTGTGATGTGAGAACAAGTAAACGTGCGCAGTACAGAACGTTTGCTGCTTCTGATGGTTTTTACTGCATTCAGAAATGTGGATTTTTCAAGTTATAGCACTTCAAAATGAGAATTCGCAAAAGGACCAATATTTTTACATCAACCTAATAATTTGAAGCTGCACCTGGCGGATAACCTCGGCTCTTCCACGACCATTGAAGTAGATGAGTTTGTAGGAAACCATTCTGGAAATCGTGTATGGCAGGTAAGTTAGATTGTTGATGTTACGATGAAGTTTCGAAGGAATATGTCGATGGAAAATCATGAAGAGAATAGAGAAATAGTGTGTTTTAAAACGGTTTCATTTGTGCATATCAAGAAAGTGTATGTATGTGAAATAGAAAATGATTTTACATGAAAGTTGACATTACAGTGATAAAAGATATTTTTGCAAAGTAGTTCATTCCATGTACGCTTTCACAAATATAGGTTTTGCGCTTCCCAAATCATTTAGTCTTTAGAGTTTTCACGAAAACAATAGAAGGGTAATAGGAGAAAGATGAATTATCTGTACCACATCTGCTTTTGATAAAAAAAGACTTCGGCAATAAAAATGACAACATTTTAGAGGACCAATATACTTTATCAAAAACGCACCACGCTACTTATGACACGTCACGGGGAGTCATGAAACAATTATTGGTCACAAGCGATCGTCTCAGTCGTCGAAAAAATAAAATGACCAAACTTCTATGCACTACTCGCCTGACCAGTAGTTTTTGAAAACTTGTTGATGCTGATGAGAAAATTGATGATTATAAGGTCGAATTAGGTCTGATGATAAGGACCCTTTATGCAATCGGACCTTGCACAACAATGTCTATGCACTTGAGCATGCGGAGATCCACAATTATTTTTGGGAAGACAAGGCTCCCAAAACCGATAAGAAGCCCAAGCGAATGGAAACTGCTGAAATCTTTGAACTCTTTGCGAAGGAATAGTGAGCGGCTGCAGCCTCGAACAGCCAATATTCGATCAAAGTTCGAAATAGGGAGCGTTCGGCCGACGGCACCGCAACTTTTGGAGGTCGGAGTTTAGAAACGGGCGGTATCAATGGGACCAAGACGAAACTCAAGGACAAAACTTTCTTGTCAAATTGAGCAAAACTGGCAAAGCAAATTCCTCCGCCACAATGATTAGTTTTGTCAGCGGCAGTCCCAGAAACATTTTTTTTCTGAGGAGGAAGAGGAGAGGCGCGACGTTAGCCACGCCCACCAAAAAAAAGCTTTTCTTTTCAACTTATCACTTATCAACTTACCTCAATATTTTGAAGGAAAAAATTGTTTAATTCGCTTACAAAATCAATTCCTTTTCAAAGAACTCATTAAAAAACACCATTCATAAACGACATACTTCTTGCTCTACAACTCAATTACATAAATAATTTTGGTAGGAGCGTAGTTTTCCTAAAGAAGATTGGTTGAAGTTAAAAGTCTCAATGGTTCTATGGAGTTAGCTTATCCTTTGTATGAAACATCATTTGAGAATAGGATGTATTACGCAGAAAAAATCAACGAAAAATTTCAGAGCTCTGTTATGTTTGTACCAAAAATCACGGGAACACTCGAGGGCAAAGCCACAATATGCTGTCTTGTTGATAGTAAGCTCGGAGATTCTCTGTTTGTTGTATAGAGTGGAATAGCATCGGAAATTTCAGTAATTTTTCCTTGATCCTAGGAGCTATCCAAGTAATCTTTCTGAAAATACAATATTTTCCAAATACCCGCCTTGCGCTTATACACATCACAAAGGCCCTCGAGTTCAAATATCTCACTTCTGTGCCATAAACGTTGCTGAACGTTTCTCGGAAACACTGGACATCGCACAAAGCCATATGAAGTAGTACCCACTCTTACATCGAGATCACTTGTTTTGCATATGCATTCCTTCATGCAAACTTTGCTATGTAGCTATGGTACGGACACACTGATAGGTATGTAGCGATTATTGTTATTATGTCATCTTCCCTTTCAATTTTCTCAATAGTGTTTTCTTCTCTGATTTGATACAGCTCGCAATGTTAACGAGACCCATTGCATACACTTGCAAGCCCTAAAAGTGTGAGAATCTGCTGAAGCTGTGGTTTGGAAACATAACATCTGAGTATTTGGCATGAGTAGGTGAATTTCATATGAGCACTATTTTGTAGAGATAAATTCCATTCCATCTCGGCGACACAGCATAGCCTGTTCCAAACTAAGGCAAATCGTTATAACGCGCGTCTGCCCCGCAGTCGCGTCGTACTGTGATGATGGCTTATATCGTGGGACTTACATCTGTCTCGTTCCTACATGTCTCAAGGCAACATGCAAAACCGTGCACTCACCAATGTGAATCAAACCTCTAGCAAAATGGGCGCCGCCCCGCATAACATGCTTCGGTCTGAGCTGACTTTTCATTTTCTAACCCTTTCAACTCTTAAAGGCAGTGTCTCACCAAAACTTAGTTGCCGAGATTTTTGCATTTCGCAAGCCTGTCGGACCCTGTCCAGAACTGTATGGGATTAAAATCGCATGAAGTTCCCAAAAACCTCGTTTTCTGGAGGCCCCGTGGAAGCTACGTGGACGAGTTGTTCCTTGCAACTTCAGCCTCAGCCACAGTGACAGCAACAGAGGGGAGGTGGTTACCAAGTGGATGGACATGTTCAAACGCGTAAGGGTGCAGACCGAAGGAGTCGTCCGCGCGTACCAAGTCGCTCTCCGCGTACCACTTTGAGCGAATTTTTCTCAGCGTGGAGGGGTCAGATTGAGTGGGACTTGTTGCAATGGCCTATTTAGAGGTCCCTATAAAAGAACTTGTGAAAATCCGCGCGATGTCAACTTTGGTGAGACACTGCCTTTGAGCCAATTACCAGATGCTTACTCGATGTTTTTTTCAAAAATGTTGGTCACATTTATTAAAATGGCAAAAACTTCGACATTAGTAATTTTTCAATACAACGTAGCCTGCTTAGGGGATGCAAATTCTCTGAAAGAACAAAGTAAACTCAAATAAAACCCTACTGAGGCAAATTCCCAAAACACAAACAAGCGCCAAGCACTCCAGCAAGTTAAGAATGGTTAGTAATAACCGATAATCACTTCAGATAAAGAAGCTGACTAAAGACACAATTACAATTGCTGTGATCTTTTCGTATAAAATAGCTCTCAAGTGATGAAAATAAAAGCTATGCGATTCTAAGGCGTACAGAATTGAAGAAATGGGAAAAGAAGACAGTCGTTGGTAATCCGAGCAAGAAAAACTGCTGACCGGATAACATCACCCGCAATCACAACATCACGGACGAGTTCTTACAGTAGATACAAAATTCGAGTATGACAGATATTATAACCTTCACCGATCCGAATTAGTAGACACACCATTGGGTCTATCCACCGGACGAATTTCAGCCAAGTGTTGTTCTCTACTTCGGCATACTACGAACAAAAAGTAAAGCGTCAACAACACGAGAAGACCAAGAGCCGTGTGGTCGCAGAGTTGCGGAAACGCGTATACAAAACCCCATACAGCGACAAATTGACCTAAAAATGCATTATCAGACAGTGGTTTTGAAATTTTGAAAATGCTAATTGTTCATAACGAAAGCTATTGAAAATGTTATGTTATAATCGAGAAAATAACTTATTTGAAACAGAGAAGAGAATTAATTTACCCGCAAAGATCCAAAGGAGATAATCCCCAAGACAAAGTCGTGGAGGTGGCACTCTGGCAGCTGCATCAGCTGCACGATCCAATGGAGATACATCGTCGTTCTCTTCTCTGTACACCATAGCCAGCAGTCTAAAGCAGAGATTAATAATGTAAGCTAGTTTGAAGAAAATTCATCTTTATATCGAACAGCTCACCTACGATAAGTTCTACGAACAAGTCCAGGCTGTGCAGCAGTCTCGGACTGTCGGTCGAAGAGGAAACGAACGATTGCGTCCAAAGGCAAACCAATCAGTGGGAAGCGGTACGTGTTCAAAAGCAATGCAACAGCCCAGCGAGGGTATCGAAACTCTGTAAAATATTTATGCAAATTAACAAGTTTTCTCTTGTGTACATTCGACCACACTTCTGATCCATGTGTCACTACGTCTTACTAGTAAATGCCATATGAGCTTACCATCAGCCTCCACACGCGTCGGTTCCGCAGCTGTTGTCTGAGTAGGACGTACGTTATCTCGATGTCTGAGTTGAGTAGCAGCGGTGTTTGATTGCGAAGTTGATGGCCCCTGAACCAGATGCCAGTACAAAATTTGGAAAGCAAATGTAAGACGGGACATGACAATGTACCTGTGTAGCATATGGTGTATTGCTAATATGGCAATGAACTACGCATCCATCACGAAGTCCATATGACGCCAAAGTTCTCGAATCCTCACGGAGCAGCTGACCTGAATGAGCAAAGCTTACCATCTTACTACCATGAGACCAGTCTCAAACCAAAACTTTCGAATGGTTCGTATCATGAAAAATGCATCTAAATATAAGTTAAACTAGTGACATAAAAAAACACAAACAACGACTGAATTTTCTCTGGCTACTATATGTGCAACATGCGACCAAAAATGTTTTAGTTATTTTTACTCGCTCAAGATATGACTATAACGAGAGTAGTAAAGGGATTTGCAAGGCGAATAAGCTCAAATGAAAACGTTTACTGACCTTGGTAAATCAAACGGACGATACGTCCGGCAGCAACTGCATCACCGAAGTGCACGCTGAAATTTTGGCATTGCCTGCATGATGTTCACCTATGGACTAGCAGAATGTTACCTTTTAAATTTGCCTATGGTATCCGTCATGGTTGTACGAGCGTCCCTTTGGGTGTCATCGAGAAATTTGAGACGAATCACCGAGTCTCCCTCTGCTTCAGGATTTTCTGTTTGTAGCGACACCTCTTCACGTGGCTCTAAAAAATCATGAATGGTTACGAATTGCAAGGATAAGAACTGGTGCAAAATTACGCTTCTGCATAAAAATTTCACATACTTCTTCCAGCTACACACTTTATATGATTCAAAAGATACCTTCTACTACATCGGGCGGATTCGAGTTCGTCGTTGTGTCCTCCGCTACCGTATCTGAGACTGGCTGACGGTCTACCGCTGGCACCTGCACTTCGACCTCAAAACAAAACATAGGCTTTATCCAAGAAAAAATATACCGCGAACCTCATTAGATTCTAGCTCATCATTCACGACGCTGATGTTCATCGGCATCACTATATTCGTAACACCATGCGGCCGCTGTCCTTCTACTGTGAAACTATTGCTGTTCAGTTCTCCTCCGACCGATGACACCCCAACGGCAGAAACTCCTAGCGAAGCACCGCTGGTGGCACCTGGCACCACATCCATGGTTCCTGACGAAGTGTTTCCAACTTGAAGACCTCTGAAAAATGTCTTAAATTTGAAAATGAAGATGTGGTAATATTTATGCACACAAACTCCAACACAGAAGATAAATTTTCACATGAGATGTTTTTCAACAGTTTATGGTTGTGCTGACATCATACTTATCTATATGTTATTTCCGACCCAACAAACAAGTGTACTTCTACTAAAACAGTACAAAGTCCAAAAAAACTAACTCACCCTCGACCAAGAACAGCGATGGCAGCAGCAGCGGCGAAATGGCTTTCGTGTGAAACGTCTCCTCCACTGGATCCAGAAGGAGGCATCTCAATCTCCCACAATGTAGATGCCGATGGAGATGGTACACTGCAATGCGAAAATTGTTTTTAGGGTAAATGCCTAGCAAAAAGACTAAGGTACCTAGTGGTTGTATCATCCATAACAGTAGCGGGGGATTGTATGACTACATTTGTGTCACTTATTCGATGACTACTGCCACTGCCCTCAGCGCTGTCGCTTTGAGAATGCACACGTGCTCGTGTACGCATTCGTGTCATCACATCTCCCCAGGAACCTCGTGGACGAAATTCTTGGCCAAGTTGTAAGACCTAAAATTGGAAGGATCACTGAAATAGTTATATTGAAGGCTAAAGTTGGTTTTTTGCAGAACAAAGTACACCGAGGAACGCTTTCTTTTCTACAACAATTTGCCTAACGTTCAAACTCTGAAAGGATGACGCAAAAAATAAATGAATGCAATATAACGATTGTCAAATAATATTAGTTCAATGCAAGATTAATGCATGTTCCCCAAGCTAGCGCTGCCGATCTGATATAAAATAGAGAAATATTCCGATGAGTAAAGCAAGCTCTTCAAAAATGGGATCAAAACATTTCGATGAACATTGATCTATGCGAAGTTTACAAAGAATCCAAAATATCCCAGATATCATCGCTGTGCAAATCGTCTTACGGACCTCTGATTCGCTTACGCATACAGGGTGTCCCAAAAAGATGTGCACACTGTTTGATCGTTAATAACTCTCCTGCTTTCATGTCTTTTGCCGAGCTTAAGGTGCCATTCTGTAGACCGAGGTTCAACTTAGATTTGCTGTGTGGAGCAAATGACCGAACCTTCTTCATTACTGCGAGATTACGGTAGGAACTTTGAGGAGGTTTTTAAGTCATTGAAAGCGGTATTTTGCCTGTAATTTGCCTTAGAAAGAAAGCCAAACAAGCCAGATATTTTTGACTGGACTAATCGAAGACGCTGAGTCTAAATATAAAAATTGCGCTTTATAGCGCTTCTTTCATAAGTTATTTCAGATTTAAGGTAACAACTGCTTTTCCAATGTTCATCAGAAATGTGAATACGCCATCAAGAAAGCTCGAAAAACTCATGAAAAGTCATGTAGTGAAATCAGCACGCCTGAAAACCTTGCCACACAAATTCTCAGATTTTTTTGAAATCATTTCATCAAAAGGCCTATTTCACAGTGACGCTATATGTTGGAAGTTCATACCGTAATTTTATAGTAATGAAGAGTGATTGGTGATTCGCTCCACACGGTAAATCTAAATTGAACCTCGGTCTACAGAATGGCACCTTAAGCTCGGCAAAAGGCATGAAAATAGGAGAGTTATTAACGATCAAACAGTGTGCACATCTTTTTGGGACACCCTGTACATTTCACACCGAATATTCACATGCCACTTGTTGTATTTTTTGGTAAAGTAAGTAGGTCGCGAACAAAAAAATTGCTTCGGGTTCTTACGCATTTTTATGTTTTGCGCTGACGCTCGCAGAAGACTACAAATTTATGTTTTGAAAAAAAAACCCCGTGATATAATTTCCTGATGTGGGTGCAGCCAACCATTGCTTTGGCAAGAGCATGCGAACTTTTACATCCTCTATATCTACACAAAAATAGTGAAGACGTAACATGTAAATGTCGATGTAGATAATGATTGCGTGAGCGAGTTGAAGACTGAGAATTTTAGGGACAGAAACCCGAAACTTACAAGGGAAGGATACTTGGTCAAAGTGCAGTTTCTATATGAGATGTATACTCTCTTATAGAGCATCGAACGCTGATTCTAGATCTGCTTTCGTTCTCTGCAAGCTCCTTTGGGATGGGAGTTATGAGAGCTTTTCGAGGCAAAAACTCAAGATCTTAGTTAAGCGTGAAAACGAGTGTTGAGGTCTTTCCGGCGCTCGAATGGACTAGCGACTAGCTCATATTTATTAGACCTTAGGTAGGTGCCAGACTAAGCGAATATTTTGTTCAGCTGCAAAAGGCGCACAGATTCACGTTAATTCTGCGCGGGAAGCTGAAGCGGAGGGTAAGCGTTAGGCGACAAAACGTGCAAAACGTAATCAACGTAAAGCCCGTAAGTCAAAACTGCAGCAGACATTATGCAGCAGTCATTAAATCTGCGCGCCTTTTCCAGCTGAACAAAATAGTCGCTTATTCTGGCGCCTACCTTAGGTATTGACTGCACAAAGCGCTCTGGCAGTAATCAAGATCCTCTCAAGCTCACAGACTACAGTACTGAAGGATTTTATTGTAGGTGCGTCTCGAAATTTTTGCCTCAAAAAATTCCTATAACTACCTTCCGGAAGCGCTTTGCAGAACGAAAGCAGCTTCGAAATCAGCGTTCCATGCTCTATAAAATGGTACACATTCCCTATGGAAACGTAACCAGGTATCCTTCTCTTGTTAGACAATTGAAGAATCTTTGAAAGAATTTGTAAACGCCATATTATAAAGCTCGCTATGCTCCACATAATTATAAGTTTCTTATATTTTTCCATTGACTCTGTCGCGGTAACATCAGAAGCATGCACTAATTTGCAACAGCCCTTTATATTCCAGTTTGACTTGTATGGGTGTGCTGAGACTACAACCCAGGACAAATTTCCAGAAGTATCTCATGATTAAGAACCTAAAAATGCGAAATCTAGAATTATATAGGGTCAGCATAAGACAACTATTAAAAAAATTGGAAACGTGTTAATTTTCATGCCCAATTTGAATCCAGCTCTAAGAATAGATGATTGATCGAAAAAGAATCTTTTCCCAGGCATCTCACCTTCCCGAAACGGCTTCGTCACACTTACCTGAACAAATCTCCTAGCGTCCCACGAATGTATTTCAACTAGGAATAGATCATAAAAAAGAGGTCTTCGACCGGTTAACCTCCATGCACTAACCAATATTAATAGTACGGTCAGCGACGCAGCAACCACAAAGAACGCAGTCACCACCTGAAATGAAGCTTGGAAAACACAGAAAAGTTGGATATACATAGTATATTCACAAATGATCAATTTCAGTGCATGTGAACCTTCTTTTTGTCATGCGAAACAGAGTAAAAGTCCTACAAACTTATTTTTTGAACTAGGGCATATCAAATTTTCATCAGTGCGACCCGTACCGCTAACTCAAAGTATTGAGTTTATTCTCTTGGGCCAATTACTTAATGAGAAGCTTACAGAACTTACTTCGCTTCCGAAGCCTTCTATCTCGAGCATTCCCAGAATGGGAGCCTCAGCTCCGCAACGAACCTGGAAGCAAAGCGATCATAATGGAGCCCGAAAATGTACGAGCAAGTACTCGGCATCATAAAAAAGCGCGTAACATGGGGCGATCTACCAAAGCAGAGCTTCTGATGAGTTTTTCGAGATCACGGTCTCTTGCAGCTAACCGATGCAGATAGCACTGAGGGACGAGGATATAAAATACTGTAAATCAACAGCGAACCTTCGTTCTTCCAGACAAAATGGACATTTCCTCAAACTCAAAAAGTTAACAATATGGTGATGAAGATGAAAAGCATTGAATGCCCAGTAGTTCTGCTACTTTATTTTCGAAAAATCTTCTCGTTACCTAAAGTTTGCTTCATAAAATTTTCTTATGAGCAAAGTGCTCAGCTCAGAACAGCTTCTTGCAAGGTTTCTACTACGAAATGATTACAGAGATACAAACAGATGAAGTAGACTACTCAGGGTTCGATCATTATGAGCTGAAAGTCGCCGAAAAGAGAAAAACTCTATTGTCAGAATTCACGACCAATCATACCGAGAAGAATGCGATGAAAAAATTCATCATAAAGCTTACGTATTGGCTATTTCGGGCCTTTTATGGCGAACTTTTGGATTTCGGCGACCTATCAGAGTGATCGAAGCAGTCTTCTCTTTCCGATTACTTCGAGTCCAGAAAACCATTCAAAGCCGATGACTTTTCCTCTAGAGAATTTCAAGGCAAATTGTCCAAATAGCGGGACTTAGGAATTTTTTATGAATGAAACCCCAGAACCTTCAGGCCAGCCCGATATTTGTCATCGACAAGTCGAGTTCTATGCTTGAAAAAAGGAAGTCCAAAATTAGTCAGAATTATACAAGCCTGTTCGAGATAGAAGTTACAATAAGTGGCAAACAAGCAATAATTTACAAACATGCAAGATATGAAAAACATGCCCTAGCTAAATCCATTTTGGCTAGAAGCACAGTGCCAGGTGCAATATTTGATAACAAAGATAGCAACGAACACACGCTGTAAACAAGAAACGGCTGGAAGAACAATAACCACACTAGTGTTAGCAATTTCCTTTATCAACAGAATAATTGGTCAGCAGAAGCTTAAGATGACGTAAAGCAGAAGGACTTGGAAAAGGTCAAAACTGAATCATACGTTTCAGAAAGCACCAGATGTTACACGATATCGATCGGGCACGCAAAGCGGAGCGGCGCGAACTCGTCTCGCGACGTCGCTACCGTTTTTTGTTTCGCGTTTTCGTATCTCGTTTCTTCAAACATGTTCTAGCGCTAACCTATGGTTGTATTTGTGCTTAGGCGAACGCTCTTGCCATATATTGGTCTAACAGATAAATGCAACCTGGGGGTTCATGCGCGCTATCCATATCACTCTTCTACTAAAAAGCTGCTGCAAAACTCCATATTCATTTGCAGTTCCATCACTTGTAGAAACAGGCATATGCTGGAGTTAAACCGACTGCTCCTAGTTCTTTAAAAATATAAACAAAACAGAAATTTGGGGAGAGTTACTTTCCAAAAGCTTACTCGAACGATACTGATAGGATTGCATGTGTAAAAATTATAGAGAAAATTTACCAAAAGCAGTAAAATTGAACAGCAATGGTATAAGCCAAGTTTGGGAAAATATTGGGGTCAACTCATGACATGACTGAAACGCTCCATTCAAAAGCGGCGCGCAACCGCGGTTGCCTTTGAATGGAGCATTGTGGAAAAATGATTGAATTATCAATATTTAACCGCGTTTTCAGCATTGAAGATCTTATTTTTGATGCTTGAATCCACTAGGAGCCCCACTCGTAATGGATGGAGATGAAATGGAATGTGAAAACGGTGGCGAGATGGATGAAGAGAGAGAAGAAGAAGAAGAGGGTGCAGAACCTGCCGAAAAGGAGGTGTGTGATGCGTTGATCAAATTGTTTTTGCGTAGCAGTTATGCAGAGATATACGGTCGAAAATTTGGACCATTGATCTTCGGTGAATGGAGCCAAATGTTGCTTAGTCACTTCTTTGGTAGATGACATCACCCATTCTTTAGGAGATGGGTGATAGGTGATAATCCTGCTATTGGTCATCAAATATGAGCCTTCAAGGTGAAATCGAAAATATCTGGCGAAATTTCACTGCTTAAGCTAGTGACTTTTTTGTAATGCATGTGTACAAGTTACGCAACTTAAGTACTTAACTTTGGGTATTAGGTTTTCGTTTCGCTTGTATTTGCATAGCATTTGAGACGCCTGAGGATTCAGCGCTTTACAAATGTAAAAGTTGGCCGACTAAGATTTGTACAAGATATTTGACGGCGACTAACACTTTGCGGAGTAATTAAAAGGCGGCTTCTCTGCTGACATTATTGCCAAAATGGCCATCAGATAATGTTCTAGAAGCTGTCTTATTGTTGATATCTAAAAATTTTGGACATTCTGACTTGTAAAACTCGCTTCCTAGCTCTGTTGAGATCTCATTGTATGCAGAAGTGATTGTATGAGTGCATTATTCTCCTCATTATCCACATTCTAATTTTTTGAGGTCTTCATCCCAGGAGTCAGTGGCACGCTGAAAGACGGTGAAGAGCTCACTTTTGATCCAGAAGCTTACAAGATTTTCTACTCCTTTGAAACTAGTGAGCGTTTTCATATTTTGTGGAAATATTCCCGGTACTCTTCTTTTTCCAGAATGGTCATGTTTGTCTTTTGACGTTGTGAAGGATAACCTTGGTGAACGTTCTGATTTCCCTCTGGAATGTTACATCGTGTCAGGAAGTCAAGCGGATAAGCCTAAGAATAATGAGCTTCTTGTTATGGGGCTTAAAAATCTCAATGCTTTGGAGGTTGTCATCAATTGTTGTTGCGATCTCACCAGTGCGAGTTGTCCATCTCGGAACGTTTTTTTAGGATGACGACGATGAAGATGAAGTTAGTGATGATGAAAGTATCTCCGAAGAAGATGAGGAAAAGAAAAACGCTTTCATACATTCCGTGACTATTTCACATTATGGTGGTATAAACCGAGTGAAGGTTAGTAGTCATTTCTGTCTCATGCAGACAAAACCATGGTCATGAGAGTCACTACTAAAAATCATCGCTCCTTCTCACTTTTAGGTTCAACGCCTTGGGGACGGTACCGTATGCGCAGTTTGGAATGATTTGGGTAAAGTTCAATTGTGGAACATTACGAATGCTCTGAATGAATGCGAGAAAATGACTTCCTCCGGCAAGAACGAAAAACAAATTTTGGTTAGTGGAAGTTTTGCAAAGTTCCTTCCGCTTTGATTGATTAGTATATAGGAAACGGCATTATTTTTGAATTTTGCTTTTTCTTAATCAGTTTGTATGCTGATCAGATCAAGTTTTAGTCAGCAGACATTTTTAGGAAAAGCCACTCTTCTCCTACAGCACGCGGAAAGAAGGTTATGCTCTAGGATGGTCAAAATTGAAACTGGTATGTGTAAAACGCAAAGCTTCCAAAAGTATTCAGTATTTTCCAGGGTGATTTTGCTTCCGGTGATCAGTGCCGAAACATTCATTTGTATCGCATGCACGAAGGTGGAGCCTGGGTTGTAGATCAAAGAGCTCTCACCAGTCATGCTGGCAAGTTTTGATTTTGTTGTTATTCCGTCTACATTGCATCTGCTTCCCTAGGCGTTTCAAATCTATTGAGTTTGACTGATTTCTGCAGGTTCGGTTGAGGACGTGCACTGGTCTCCTACTGAAGAAGGGTTACTAGCTTCTTGTTCCTGTGATGGCACAATAAAGCTGTGGGATACCCGGTCAAGTCCTGCAGATGCTTGCGTATGCACTGTTGACAAGGTATTTAACCGGTGATACTAGTTGCATTCTATTCATTTATATATCTATTCAGGCACACAGTTCTGATGTCAATGTTATGTCGTGGAATCCACAGGATGCGTTGTTAGTCAGCGGTGGAGATGATGCCGAGTTGAAGATTTGGTCGTTGAAGACGATACAGGTGAATGTTCATCTATATTTAAACGTTTAAGAAGTGCTTGAAGTACTGTATCGCCTATCTATGATCCAGAATTCTAGAGCATAATTTTCTCAAATATTGTATCTTTTAGCTCTTGTGAAAATGCTGTGCTGTTGTGTGCATTTGCAGTACTAAACGTGTTTTTTTTAGTTTGGTCAACCAGTTGCACGCTTCAAGTATCACTCAGCTCCGATTACGTCGGTTGAATGGTTACCGCAGGTAAGTGCGTTTTAATTTAGTGACTTGAATAAGCACGTATTATCTAGGAATCTACCACGTTTATGGCTTCTGGAGAAGATGATCAAGTGACTATTTGGGATATAGCTACTGAGGCGGACACACAAGATGCTGTGGAAGGCGTACCACCGCAACTGATGTTCTTACACCTTGGCCAAAAGGAGGTAAGTAGCCTATCAAGCTTCTGATCTAACCGAAGATAATTCCAACAAACTATCTTGTAAAGGTAAATTACCGACCATTGACGCAAAAATTTTGTGAGTAGATCCTATGTTTCATATGGGCAAAATCCATCAAACTCGGTTGTATATGTTACACGTTGTTGTTCTAGGTAAAAGAAGTCCACTGGCACCCGCAAATTGCTGGACTTGCTCTAACAACATCCTTGGACGGTTTCAACGTTTTCAAAACTATCAATATCTAATCTGTTAATCTGTTGTCATGAAAAATTGTTATGTTAGTTGTTACTCGTTACCATTGTTGCTTCTGAGAGGTATTGAATTGCTATTTTGTTACTGTTATCGCATGCAAGGAAAGTTATTGAACTATCTATCCCGATTTTGACTATTTTTTCGATGTAAATTTTTGCAATGAAGTTACTTGAAGCTTGCTATTCTGCAGTCACCACTGGAAGTTTCCTTTCACCTATACTAATCACGGGAACGATACTTAGTGTCCGTGGCCTTTTGAGATGAGATGTGTACCATTATACTCTTCTCGCAACGCTGTCCGAATCTGACTTCCGCTTCTGCTGATCATTTCTTCGAAAGGAGTTATGAGGATTCTCAAGCCAAGTTTGGCCGCTTGAGTGAAATATGGTCGGAGTGCCAGATACTTCTCATAGGCTGTGGTGTAGCGGTTAGAGCGATAGCCTCACAAGTTGCAGGTGTAGGTTCGAGCCCTTTTGTGTTTTTTAGTTTTGCATTGCCTCAATTAATCTTCGTTTTGAAGGTTAGGCATCCTCGAGGTAAATGCATGCCCTTACTCAAAGAAAACCAACGAAGAGTCATTTTTGTATGAGTGCTTCCTATACTTATTCTGAAAGGTGCTTACAAGAACGAAAATGAACGGAGAATCATGTCAAACACAGTGACGGAAATCCATGACAAAATGATTAAAGCATAGGAGATGCTTGCAGTGAGCGCACCGGATAAAGAATAAGTTGTTGCAGCTGGCTTTCTCGCACTCACCCAGCAATTCACGCGAAAAGCAGTATTGTACTGGGGTTTGAAATTGACCAGGATACTCATCAAGGCAGCCTGCGGCATACCACGGGTTTTGTTCGAGTAAATTTACTCGAATTATGATTAATAGATACATTTTAGGCAAACAGTAATTATTTCTCCTAATTTTCTATATTTTTTTGAAGAGGAAGGGCATGCGTTTACCTCGAGGATGCCTAACCTTCAAAAAAAAGATTAATTGAGGCAATGCAAAACTAAAAACACGAAAGGATTCGAACCTGCATCAACTTATGAGGTTATCGCTCCAACCACTACACCACAGCGCCCATCAAATACCTGGCACTCCGATCGTATCTCACTCGGGCGGCCAAACTTGGCTTGAAAATCCTCCATAACTTCTTTCAGAGAAACGATCAGCAGAAACGGAAGTCAGATTAGGAATCAGGGTTGCGAGACAAGTATAATGATTTACATCTCATCTCTACAGGTCACGGACACTAAGCTAAGTGCCGTTTCCTTGGCTCAGCCAATTCCACTATGAATGAGCTATGCCCTTAGCTATGTACTCCGAAATTTCATTGGGATGGCTTTCAATACTTGAGCGGTCTCTAACCCCAATAAAAAAGAGCTTGTCGGCAGGCTGCTTTGAAGGTCTATTTTTTCAAGGCTTGTTCGAATTTTTGGAAAACAAAAATTACCTCATTTGTTTAGGGGCAAAAGGTCACTTGCGCGATTTTATTATAACTCATGCAGGTTTAGTTGCGACATTGTCGGTGGGGGGGGGGGGGAGGGGGGAGGGGTGCTATCAGACTTTGCCCATTCTTATCTTAGCATAGGTTTGTCTTCGACGTAAGAACACTTTGATAAAAATCCAGTAACGGGCGCAAGATTTCCTGGGGGGGGGGGGGGGAGACGGCAAAGAATTTTTTCAAATAAAGGTGCATGGCGTTAGCCACGCACTTTGGAAAAATTTGGGTGCCTCTCAAAACTTTTGCGGGTCCATAGCCCCTAAAATTTAGAAAAAGGGGGCGTGGCGGCAGACACGCCCCTGAAAAAAATTTTACAAGGCTAAATTGAATTTTTAAAAAATTTCAAAAATCATTTTGACTGTTTACAAGATAAAACAACCTACTTGTACATTTCTATAACCCATGCAAGTAAATCAGAAAATTGCGAGAATTGGGGAGGGTGGACGCTCCTCCCCTCTCGGTCCGCCACGGTAAAATCTATATATACTAGAACTTAGCGAACCAACATCGCGTAGTCTTTCAATTTCTGGCTGGATAAATAGAATTTTGGTAATTCCATATAAATAGAATTTTGGTAAATTCTCGATTCAGTTGCATTTTCACAAAGTCTTGTGTGTATATACGTATCTTATTCATTGGTATACTTTTATGCGGTTTATTTACTTTAGAAACACGTACGCACAAATATATAAAATAGAATTTTGTTAGCCAAGGTCATGGAACTGCTCTTCCTAATGTTGCGTTAATAATATTACAGCAAACTGTTTGTTTTGATAGTATCCTTCTCGACCATTAGGTAGCCCGATAGTGCCTTGTAACGGGAACAAATGCCTCAGTGGGACCAGCTTTTTTCGAGAGTTTCCAGCATGGTCAAAACTGTGTCGACAGGCTATTCCTAGGTTCTTCAGATCTCGTTCTTCGTCTGTTTAGTCGATTGCATGCACCAACAATTGCTGGACGTTGTCGAATGGCCAGTTGACGCTTCTGAAATAATTACTTTAATTAGTGTCATAATCTATATGAGATTTGTCTAAATGTTCGTTCGCACCTTTTTTAGAAAATCATAACTTTTTCCTATTTCAATAATGTTGCTTCTGATAAATACTCTTAAGAAGAGTAAACCTTGTACCTTCCAAAGGTAACTCGTAGGTTCCCAGTTAAGTTCCACCTGCAGAGATAAAAATGAAAGAAAGAGACCAATCAAAATTCGCTAATTTTGAGCAAGCCCAAAAAAATCTAGAAACCATGCTATAAAACTAGAATTGTTGATACTATGGGTTTGAGGATGTGCTTATAAAGCTTCTTTATTGAATGTAATGAGATTTGAGAAAAATTCAAAGGCAAAATCCAGGCATCGATATTTGCATTTTTCCTCGAAAATCATAACTTTCGTTAGAAAAGCTCGATCAGCACAAACTTTGCAACTCGGAAAGAGGAAGTTAGAAGCTACATTTACAACTAATTTGGATTTTTATGGTTTTTAGGTTTTTAACCGGCTTGCTCCAAATCACTGGTTGGGTGATCATAATTAGTAGAGAATCTTCGCGGTGTCATTACAAAGTACGTTTGATTTTCGCAAAAGAAATCTTGGACCAACCTAATAGATCATATGAACTTCGAAGTCTGGAGATTTATTCTCACCGCTCAAAAGCAAGAAGAGTGAAGTGGTTGCCATTTTATGACTCTGAGGCAGCTCCAAAGCTGTATGCTAAAGCAGTGCCGTCGTTCCAGTGCCGTGCCAATGCCGTGTCAGTGCCGCGACAGTGCTGTGCCAAAACTTTATATTAGCGCGCTCCGTATCGGTCGATCTATCTGGGCGTGGGACATGGGACGGAGCCGGCACAGGCGGGCACAGGCAACCTTGGACGCACCCTGATCTACAGTGTTGAAAAATCCTTTGAAGATACTACATTTTCTACTACATGCAAATTTTGGCGCGCACATTGATTTTTAGAAAAATTCTTTTGCGAGTGTAGGTACATGTTACAATTACACTTACTATCAAATCATGCCTTTCTTTCAGCAGTGGATCCGTTAGAAATCCCCACCTTAAATTTCTCTCTGTTTTCTTTCTTCTTTCGTACAATGAACTCCACTAGTGCTGTGCACATGGACAACACCATACCACACATGAGGATGTAGAAGATGCCAGCGACCTTCGACAAATTCAGTGAAGAGCTGGCTCCGCTATCCTAGAATGTGATTGTCAGTTCATAAAATGGTAATGAAGGTAGTGAGAGTCAAAATATTTGGCTCTTTCTATGACTTTTTTTATTGTGTCATTCCATATCATATTACACAAGTTAGAAAGTAATAGTTAGGATGATCAAATTAATGTCCGCAGCTTACTGGTACGACGCTTAAATTGATTATTCTCGAAAATCAAAGCACCTATTAGGAATGAAAATGACAGTCAAGCTTCTGAAAGCTTGTAATATACGACACCTAAGTTGGAGAAAATTTACATTGCTACGGAAGGAGTTTGCCATTTTTCTTTATCGTCTTTTCCTGAGTCTAAGCACGAGAAAATCACAGCAAGTGCATATATAAAGATGGGAATAATGGCTCGTAGAAATTTCCTGGGCAAGGTTTTGATGTGCAGCAAATGCCCACAGATTTCGGCTTAAAGGCAGTGTCCGGGCAAATGGTCGATTTTGAGATTTTGTGCTTACCCGGGCCTATTCACTATACTGAATCCGAAAATGCACATTGTAGAGCGCGAAAATGGCGAAAAACGGCTCTAACACAGGAGGGAATTGATCAGGTGGGCGGGGTCCTCCCCACTGCGAATTCACGTTCCCGGCTTCCGGAGCGACCTTCTCGCTTCAGGTTTAAAGTGAATTATTCGCACTTGGCCGGTAGCGATTTAGGACGGCTAGCGGAATTGAGAAAATCGCTCCGGGAGCTGGGAGCGTGAAATCGCACTGGGGAAAGCCCCGCCCACCTGTTGATTTCCCTCCTGTGTTAGAGCTCTTTTTCGCCGTTTTCGCGCTTTCCAATGTGGATTTTCGGATTCAGCATGGCGAGTAGACCCGTATAAGCACAAAATCTCAAAATCGAGTTTTTGCCCGGACACTGCCTTTAAAGGCAGTGGTCAGGCAGAACGGACCCTTCTCGGATTTTGGTGGATTTAGGTGATACACCCCCGAAGTACACTGTAGCTCAATCCCCTCCTGTCAATTCATGCGCTAAGTCCTGCAAAATGCTCCTCAAAACTCCACCAGCCCCGCCCACTCAGTGGAAATGGGCGGGGCTGGTGGAATTTTGAAGCTCATTTTGCAGGACTTAGCGCATGAATTTGCAGGTGGGGTTTGGGCTACAGTGTACTTCGGGGGTGTATTACCTAAATCCACCAAAATCCGAGAAGGGTCCGTTCTGCCTGACCACTGCCTTTAAGTTTTACCTGAATCAAAGATTTAGGTGGATCTTTGTTAATCATTTTGCAGAGCTTCTTCACTCTATCGAATGAGTCCCATATATTTTTGTATAGTCACATGATTTGGTATCATATGCAACGGATTTTGCTTAAACCTAATATGTAGTTAAGTCATAAAAATGAATAGAACAAGAAAAGGTCATGTCGTCTGAGTTAAGCTTCAGTGAAAATGCGTAAAATTCTAATACCCTATATGCATTGTACAAGGAAGCGCACTTAGATTTGGGGTTACGGTAGTCACTTCATATTTTCGCCTTCCATCCCGAAGCGGAAAGTTCTAAGGCGATCATGTGCTGCAGACTTACAGATATTCCTTGATCGCATTGTCCACGATCGTACCACCATTTATTCTCTAATCGTTTCAGCTCTCCTTTCTCTTGAAGATACAGTATAGCCAAGTTGATTGACCCCCTGGAAAGCGCTTTTAATCGTTTCTTCACAATTTTGCAATGAACGTGCCTGAGGGGATTTCCAATCTTTGTTGCGATTCCATACCCGAGCGTGTTTAGGTTTTGCCCAACTTTCATCGTATTGCAAGGTTTGCGACCGCCTTCGTAATTATTCGTTGTTTCTTCCAACAAGAAAGCATATCTGCCCTAAATCTTCTCAGCGACACTATGATATCTTTTATTGGGAAGTTTGGTGGAAAAGTCTTTTTGAAAACGACGAATTATCCAACCCACCTTACTTTTTCTCACTCGTTCAATCCCTTCTGCATAGGTGTCTACGAAAACCGATTCTGATCTAAACTTTGCTTTGCGATCAAAAGAATCTCAAACAAATTATCGCTCACACTTGTTTCTTCAAAAATTTGTTATGCTCGTCGAACATAAAGTCCCACATCTTCTTGTATAGCGGAACTGTGGAATCCTACAAATATAACAATGCTGAGGGACGAGAGTACCCTTTACATAATTGTTGCTGTTGGCCAAACCGACCTCAAAGAAGGCAGCTGTTGACCCTCCCTTCACAACCCCATAAAGTATTTTGTTCTGGTTAGCAAGATCCTCGACTGATTCGATCGGAGGCGTCATTTTCTCTGAAAGGACAAGAGACAAGTGATTACAGTTCGAAATCTTTATGATGTATGCTCCGTCATGGCGAATGGTATTAGGTCATCCCAAAAGTTTTTTCGTATTCGTACCTTCAAAATGATACTTCTCAAAAAGTAAGGCATCTAGAAGAATGCAATTTTGTGGGAGTATTCTTGAGTGAGTAAGCTATATAATGACACATTTGCGAAGAACATAGACTCATTATAGGCCAAGTTAGAAATTGAGCCCTTTATTTTTTTTTCTCGATTTCTAGGCGCCAGAAAAATGCAGCAAGTGTATCTATAAATGTCTGATGGGGAAAGTATATGCGTGAGCAAGTGGGAACTTTGCAGAATGTTTCTGGACTAAGATACGATAATTTTTGTTTTTTCGGAATTTTGGATTTTTTTCCATTTTGTCTTAAAACTCGATGCGGATCAAGCCTAATACGAAATTTCGAAAGCCATATTGTAGAGCTTGCTTTAATCTTTCGAATGATACTCCGCTTCTCATCAGAAGTCTAAGAAGAGCAGACTTATGCTGGTGAAAAGTCTGATACGATAAAACTTTTGGGATGACCTAATAAAATCTTTTCGCAAATCGATATTTTATCTTGAAGAATTTCCATTAGGATGTTTTTGACTGAAAACTGGGAGTACATTTTTTTAGTTCTGTTCTCCATGTCAGTTCAGTAGATTTGAAAATTATTAGCTCTTTTTGGTGTAAGTAAATTAGGGTGCAACAACATAAGTCAAGTTTAAATTCATCCATTTGATATGCTACAATAGAGTATTGGCTTTTGAGAAGATCAAGATAGTGAGAATGGGTAATCCATCTGAAAACTGAATCCATTTCTTCATTACAATTCTAAAAGGTAAATCTCCAAAAAGGCATATATCATTTTGATGCTACGATATGCTTCTGAAAAGGTGCTTTTGAACGTATTGTTTGTTAAAACAATTTCATCTTCAAGCGAATTCTGCAATGATTGGATGAAAATTGTGGCAAGTATATGTTTACCTAAGGTCAGAAAAGCGGCCAAATTTGCGGTGTAGGATGACACGATAATCAAAGTGAAGAACCACCACGCTGACGAAGCTATCCTCCCAGAAAGAGCTCTGAAGGTAAACATCTCCTCTACGAAACTAAAACATCTTCAAGTAAATGTTACTTGGGAAGAATGTCTGTTCCTTGTTGCATAAAAGCGGCCAGCGTGAACCATAACGAGTTGTACATAGAGAATTCGTTTGAGACTGAGAACTCTCCTCTATTAAATTGCACTCTTTGCTCGTATGGCGAGAATGATGAAACCAGAAATATCGTTAGTGAAACCTGGAATAATTTTCAAAGTTATAATTTATGTTAACGATTTAGCTTACTCCAACATATGAGCACAGTGTGAAGATCCAAATGCGCATTCCAAGAGGCTCCATAAAAGAGAAAATGTTGAATTCTTGTTTTTCTGGCTTTTTTATCATTATGGAGATGCCTAAAAAATAGCGGTAAATGTAAAGATTGGAGTTGGGTTTTTTTACCGGTTGTCATGAACGGCTTCGAAAAATCTACAGCCCTCTCTCGTTCCTGTGTGATTGTTAGTGGTGCTACGGCGATGTCAGCGGTCTAAAATATAATCTTTACATAGCTATTGAAAATTAGTAAAGAAAATATAATGATTTATTCTATTTTTTTTTACTATTTCTACTTATTTCTACATTCCATTTCTGCTTCTTTTTCTATTTTTACTATTCATGGCGGTCGCAGGATTTTCGTTCGGGGAGGGGGGGGGGGGGGAGAGAAGGGGCAGTTTTCTTGAATAACGCGACATAAAAGTTTTTTTTCAAATAAAGGTGCACGGCCTTAGTCGCGCACTCGGAAAGATTTTGAAATGCTTCCCAGAAATTCTGGGGGTTATAACCTCGACGCCCCCGAAGAATATTTCTTTACAATTTGATTTTTGAAAATTTTTAAGAATTATTGGAATTGTGCGCAAGTATAAAGAACTTATTGCACGTTTTTTTAACCCCCTTCCTACGCCTCCTTCTCGGTGCGCCGTTGTATTTCATCTCTATTTTTCTATATTTTTCTCTATTTTTTGATGTGATTCTCTGAGTTTACCTCATTCAACAGATATCCCAGCATTCCGTCCCAACTGCCGTCAGCTTGACGAGCTCCATATCTAAAAATGCAAATGCGTTTGCAAAGAGCGAAATAAAATCTTGAAGTAAGAAAAATTTGAAAAAAGTACTTGTTTCCTTCGGAAAGAAATATGCTGTACTCAAAGCCGGAAATGTTCTTTGCAAGCAGTTTCAGCAGGTCAACACAGTAACCCTCGAAGCGATCGTTACCCTCGTGTTCTGGTTCTCCGGCAACTCCTTTTCTCACCATTACGAATGGTTTGACCTAGAAAAAAATTAGGGTCCTCTTAGTTTCAACTATCAAGAGATATTTAACGAACCAGTACGGTAACGACATTGAGTCTTAACTTAATAGGTTTACTAGTGGTAACGTCCTTTGCAACACTATCGTTAGGTTTATGAGGGAATGGTTGTTGATTGAGTAGAAATCCTTGCCCTTGAACCCATTGGAACCTCTGCAATGGAGTTTGTTGAAGGTGATCTTAAGCGGTAAATAATGAAAATTTACATTAAAGTTTCGATCAACAATTCGCGACTAAAAATGATATCCAATTCAATCTGGTTTCAAGGTTTAAATCTCAGAATTGCGGGGAAATTTTACTAGACTTACAAAAAATTCGTTCTCTACAGAATGAATTGTCTGAAGTAGGGAGGGGAGAAAAAGCCGTAATCCATACCTCTTTTATGCTGTTCAGACTGTTTACGCCAGGTTTTATCTCTATAACAGTTGCAGAATAGTTGGTTCTCCATCCGGTGTGCGGGTCAAATTGAATACGCCCAGTAAGAGTTCCATCGTCACTTGTAAGCACCACCTCAATATTATTATTTGCTGGATGAAAGGTGAGATTTCGGAAGTGCGAATTTGAGTCAACAAGGGGCAACCTCTCTTAGTGACTCAGCTATCTCGGCACCGAATTCGAAGGGCTCGAACTTTCTGTCTGGATGGTCGGCGTCCTCATGTGGGCGACAGTATAGCCCAGGTAAGCCGTGGTTGTAGAGTTGGTGACGTGAGAAGCTGCTGTAAAATTAGAAGATTTTGATCCTCAAAGTGGTGGTAGAGAAAATTTAATGAATATCTAACAGACGCCATTTAATTTTTAAAAATTCACAGAAACATAATGTACGAAAATTTCTGTGTTGCGATCGTTTGTGTTCGACTTTGGCATGAATCAAGAGAGTCTATATTTTCTTATAACCAAGTATGTCTCTTCAATTAAATTCAAGGTAAATCTATGAAAATTGCTTTTTTATGATAAGCGCTCTTCTCTTCATGGTCGATACTCTATTATGATGTTTTTCCCATTTTCCAAGCTTTGACCTTTCTCCGCACACAGTGCCCCTCTACTCCCATAATTGTTTTACGAGAACAACATCTACAATCAAAATGAAATTTTTGTCACAATTTTTGTGTAAAACTCACTTTGAAAAGAAAGAAAATCCACGCTTTCGCACTGTCCGATCAAGGGCAAAAGCGGCCACAAGTAGAGCATCGTGAGCGAAAGCGCTGCTAGCCTTTGAAGTATAGAAGTGAACTTGCACTGAGAAGTGTTGTGAAGTGAAACTTACTGGTAAATAATCTACGGTAGGAAAGCGCTCTCTGTATATATCCTCAAAGTGCTTCCTGTTTTGCCTAAAAAAGTAAAATTTTCATCAGATTAAGCATTGATGCTGCGAAAACGACACTGCTAATCGAGAAGTCTGAAATAGGGTAAAGGTATCATAATCGTTGAGGTGACCTGATCCAAAACTGTCAACATGAATGAATCAGGCTTTGCTTCAAAAAAATGCTAAGCCCTCATGTTTTTGTTTCGCTGACAATACTCAAGCTCTAGTCATCCACATGCCTAGACGACTAGGGCTTAAGTAGGGATTGAAATCGGTACTATGTCTCATCACCGATTTCAATTTCTTGAATTGAAGTCGGTGCTAAACACGATCAGAGAAAATGGTATTTTGCTAATATTTACTCACAGAAACTTCTTGTCCATCCGATCGAACATTTGAAAGCCAGTGATGTTGATGAGTGAGTAGTGGAATGACGCCAAATCTGCATCTTCCATCTCCTAAAATATCACTAATATTGTATAAGAAGAACAAGGATGTAGGCAACTTACAAAATTCGCAAAAACATAGTGATAATCTTTTTTGACCAATACACTTTCATCTAATGCTCGCAAGAACATTCTCATACGGTAGCCGCCTTCCAAATCAACAATCACTTGAACTGGTCTGAAAACAAATTTATGATTTTTGAGGTTCAATTGATGAAACTCACTTAGCAAGCTGAGCATCTTCTGCTGTAGAGTTATTGCCTTGAACTTGTGCGAGTGACATTCTTCGATGGAAATCATTCAAAAATTCACGGAAGAACTCTTCGTCACTGGGTGCCTAAAACTGTCTTCGTGAAAATTCTGTACAATAAAAGTACCATTTTTGGCAGTTTAATGATGTTGCTTACTCTGAAGTTATCGACAAATAAGTTGTAACCCATATTTTCAGCGTTCAAATATTCAAACATTCCGTGCAAGGTTCGGTCAGCTAAAGACGCTCTAATTTTCAGTGTGAATTTTTCTGTGGAAAATTCTCACCATTTGCTCCATCGTGTATGTAGACGACATGAGTCCAGCCTTTGTATTTTATATAGTCGATCAAAATATGATCAACTGGAGGCCTCACAGAGAATGTCATAGGAGATCTTCTAGCATCAGCCGTTCGAATATCGGACACTTCCCAGTCCACCAGCGGGACCTGATTCACAAAATTTTTACGCTTTTCATTTGCTTTTTCGGAGAAGGTGTGGAATGTTACTCCTACCGCCATAGAATCTGCGATGGACTGGTAGACTCCATAGTTGTAAGTATGCGTTCCAGCTAGCATAGTCATAAATCCCAGCTTCATCTCGTCGCAAACTGTAACTAATATTGGGAGACAATGTTTTGCACTACAGTATCTTACAGTGGACAGAAAATGGGCACGAACGTCGATACAATTGCACCGTTTCAACAGTTTTGATTGCTTGTTACGTTGATCGCTAGATCTAATCGGCGCCGGTGGGTTTCTGGCACACGCAAGAACCTCTCGCTTCTCGTCCACCCAGATTCTCAACTTCAATTTTGTCATTACGAGCCCTTCTCATGCCCTTGATTCCTAATATGATGTCGAGAATCCTCGAAAACCCCGACAATCCTCTTTTCGGAGCACCCGCAGGCCGACTCTCCGGAACGGTGATTTAGATGGGCACGCTTGGATGGGCGGGCATTGCTGGAGGGGGCGGTGCCGCCTTGGATCTTCGTGCTTCTTTGTTAATTTGGAGCGATTTTCTCGCTTTCGAAGCAAAATTTTACGCCGTGACTCGGGCGTTGGCTTAGTGGTCCCACTATGTATGCTGCCAAAAGTTCAAAACCCCTGATTTGTAGTGCACGGTGCCATTAAGCCTCCCCTCACTCGTCACGCCTCTTGGACGTGACCCTTTCCCAATTCTTATCGCATTTGTAAGTTATGTTCGGAAAAACGACTAATAAACAATCCACTGCTGTTAACAGAAGAGAAGAGCGCCACCTTTTTTGTTCAAAATAAAGAAGCCATCCTATCGTCTTTAATAATTCGCCACCTCCCCTTCTGCGTGCCAGGAACCCGTCGCAAAGTGTATCGCGCGCGATTGCGGGCATGGAAACGTCTCAGTGACATTACGGTAGGGCGAATTGGCCTATACACGCTGATGTTTACCGATGACAAGATTGCTTAGTGTCTGGAATGGGCCATACCTATTCTATTCAAGTTCCACATCATCGTACTCCTCTGAAGTGGAGGTAGTTCACGAGTACCGAGCAAAACGTCAACGACGGCATCGGGACGAGCATTGAAAGTGAGCTCAGCCAATCGTAGCATCTGAATTCCATCAAGAATGTTCTAGACTATAGACTTTGGCAATATTTCAAGCAGCTTCTTTAAAACTTTTATGAAGGACAATATGGAATCATTTCAGATGATCAAAGCGTACCAGACACTAGATATCCCATATTTTTCCAAGAGAATGCACAACTTTTTTTTAAAGCCCGGGTTAGTAGGGCTGAGAAAGGTAGGTCAATAAGATGGCATCCAAACGCGCAGAGTTTGTTGCACGTGAGCTTTGATCAAAATCTGGATCTTATATGGTTGTCCGGAAAATAATGTCGCTTTTTATTTTAACATGCAAAATCGTGGCAGAGTGAGCACGAAAGTAAGTAAATGGGGTATGAACCGATAGATCAAAACAAGCTCTACAAAATGAAGCTCGAGCCTTTGCGCCAGGTTTGATTTGCGTGGAGTTTGGAGCCAAATTTCACAAGGCACTAAAGATCTAAAAAACGAAAAAAAATCGTATCTCCGTTTGGAAACGCCCTGGGAACCCCTAACTTGCTCACGCGTGGACTCACTATACGAGACACATGTATGCACATTTTCGCGGTTTTTCCATGGCTGAAAATTGAGAAAACGAAATTCGGCACATTTTTGCCAAAACAATCTTGAGCTTCTCTCACATGGGTGATTCTGTAGCATGAACCTTTAGGAGTATAACCATGAATTTTCAGCTTTAGACAAGCGCCAGTTTTCGAGAAAAATCAAATTGTTTGCAAAAAACCCGAAAAACGCGACAGATTCGCACTTTCGACCTATTTTTATTTCTCGTACTGTTGCCAAGGAAAAATACCACAAGCTGTGCAGGTAAATGTCTAGTGTAGAGAGTACATGCTTGTGCAAATTGGAGATCCATAAGACGTCTATGAACCGAGATACGATTTTTCGGATATCTAAAAATTTTTACATTTTGGATTTGAACTTCAGGTGGAGCAGGATTTCCGCATAGTTTTGTGAACTATCTTGTAGGGCTTTCTTTGCTCTATCAAATGATACCCCATTCGCTATTTTTTATGGTCATTCTGTCGCGGTAGGATGTCATGCGACATCATTTTCCGGACAACCTAATATTTATTTTGCTTATTCATTCTTAGATTAGCAGTGTGATAGTAATCTAATTTTGAAGTTTTACACAAAACCAAATCTTGGCGCAACTATGTATTACACGATTTCTGAGAAGCGATTACTTCTGCTATAATCATTTTGATAATTATAAGAGCCAACAGGCAATCAAAGGTTTTCTACCTGCTAATAAGCATATCTCTTCACAGCTGAATAAAAGTTCCAAATCAACCAAATTTGGTCATGGAAGGTATACACTGGGTTAAGGTTGTATCATTTAAATAGCCGAGAAATCAGTTCAAAATTTTTGTATTATTCAAATAGACGAGAAATCAGTCCAAAATTCAAGTGCTAAACGGATAAAGAAGTCTGTCGAAGGTCATTCGAAGTGTTTGTCTATCGTTATTCTTTGAGAGATGTGGAAAATCGAGAAAGACATGAACTTTAAGCCTGTTACATATATCTAATCTCAGGGCTATCCAGGTTTTTCGTTCTGGGGGGGGGGGGGAGGAGACAAAAAAATTACAAAAATTTTTTTTGATTAAGGGTGAGCCACGCACTCCGGAAATTTTTTCCGGATGCTTCCGAAGATTTTCATGGACCACCCCAAAACTCAAAATTCTGGAAACTTCTGGATAGTTCTAGAAACCCCACAAATTTTTTCACAAACAAAATTTGTCTTTTTTTGAAATCTTTAGAAATTATCAAAATTTTAACAAGTATGAACAAGTCACTTGCAGATTTTTTTAATTCGTGTAAGGTAATTTCCAAAAGTTTCGCTTTCCATTCTCGAGGCGCATTAGATAATTTTAGCTCTCTTCAAATTTCAAGTCAATCAAACTTCAAGCAAAAGATGAACGCCTTCTTGTAGAGCTTACAGAGGATAATGGCGTAAACACTGCTGAAAGTGAAAACAAAAATATCATAGTTGACAAAGTTAGCAGATAGTTAGGTGTGTTGTCTAATCTTTTGCGAGAGTACATAGAAATGTTACAAAGGATTTTCTCTCCCTTACATAGGAATAGGAAGGTTTATTCGCTGCAGACTAAACCAAAACTGTAACAGCAACGAGTCTACGGTTTTTCTTGGTAATCTCAAAGAAAGATATTCTTTACGAAAATTTCCTATTTTCAAGCAATGATTTACAAAATTACCTCGATTGTAGCGTGCGCTGTTGCATTGTCCGTCTCGGACACATCCACGAATGCTCCTAAAGCCAAACTGGAGCAAAGAGCGGCAATTCACTGCAAAACTTACTGAGCGGAACTTTGCGACTGGCATGGCTGCTCCCAGCAAATAGCACTATCAAAATTAAACCAAGCGCCATCGCTCAAACCTTTAACCATGGGACAGCTTGGAGTTTGCAGAACAGCCGAAGCATCGGAAACTACGTTCCAGCGTGACTTGTGAGGGTGGAAGAGACAGCTTGTTGGGGGAGTGAACCGAAGTCCACCAGCCGGACAGGAAATAGGCTTGTCAGTAACAATTTGCGCAAAGTGAGCACGCATGGGTCCCAGAGGACCCGAGCAATTGCTGCAAATTATGAGGCCGGCAAAGAAGCTTAGCGGCGAACCAAACGAATTCTGCATCCGGCATCGTCTGCGATAAATCTTCTCCATAAATAATTGGTTCCGGCATAGGGGTGGAAAAACGTATTGAGCTCGAAGAAAAAGGCTAAACAAAATCAAATTATTTTTCTTGTCAGACGTCATGGTCACCGATGATCAAGAGCTGTTATCGAAAAAAAATTCTTTGTAAAATCCAAGTTTTTACCTCTTACGTACGAGTTTGGTTTTTGACAATCAGTTGTAAAGTCTTTGAATTTCTTGTCAACATTAGTATCATTCATAAAGTGTTCTCCTGTTATGAGCTAATCATTAAAAAAATGATAACGAAGTCTTAGAGATCGCGCAATCGTCAATGGGTTAAGAACTGGTAAAGAAACCACAAAATTTATTCTGTAATTTTTTAAGTTTTTCATAAATGGGGAGCTTTTTTCACTTTCAAGATCATTTTGTAATAAACAAAGAGCAATGGGTTCAATTTTACATTCTTTTTGAAGTTTCTTTTTAGGCATTATCGCAGAACGATGATTCAAATAAGTCCAAAAAGGAATGCTGAAAAAGCACAATTTTTCATGGCCTCTGTCAGAAGTGATTACGAATGGGAATAATGAATGATATTAAACCCTTACAAGCAAACTGAAAACAAATGATCTTCCTGAAAAAGGCATACACAAGCTACGTTTCACTCGTCTATTCGATACGGTTATTGCTTGCGTACCCCCCCCCCCCCCCCGTTCGCTGAGATTTGCGTCACAATGCCGTATCTTGGTTAAGAGGTCCCATTCAACAGGTCGGAGCACACCTTTCATTTATTCAGAAGGTGCTCGTCTGTATACGTTGGACATACTGTTAGCGAATTTTCTGTTAATTCTCACGAGTATATCATTTTTGCCTTTAGGTTACCCATTGTGCTGATCACCACCTACATACTATATTTAGTTGCTGCAAAACTGACTAATTACTGTACCTACTGTATGAAAATGACAATAAATACATCAGAAGATGAGCGTCGTTGAGCTAAATTGATTGGTATCCTTGATTGTAAAATTCGTCTTCTCCCAACCGAGATATATGAGTCAAAAAACCTTTACATGGCTAACTTGAAAAAAATGCTCTGGTCAGCCAGACCTCCGATAAATTTTTTAACGAAATTAATAAGAATTTCTAACAAGTGAACGATACTTCTTTACCCCGGCCATGTGGAATGCGATGTATACCATAAGGTGCATCTCGAAACGCTGATTCTAAATCTGTGCTCGAGCGAAACGATTATTTGAAGGCAGTTATGAACTTTTTTTTCGTAGAAAATTTGCGTACTCGTCTATTCTACAGTTTGAAGCTATTGAGGAGAATCTTGAAAGGTGCTACGCTGTATTTTTACCTATCTGAACCATATTCAGCATTTGAATAGCAAAGGAAAATTTTTATCAATGATTTTCACCCTCCGCAGTATGTAGTGCGATTCATTTTCGAAAAAATAATCATAACTCCATCCAGGTTCCCGTTTCGCAGATATGGAAAACAGTATTTGAATCAGCATTGAAAGGTGCATTTTTTGATGTACAAACCATTATGAATGGCCGGGGTAACCAAGTATCGTTCCCTGTTAAGGAGTTTTGAAAAATTATTTAAATTATCCTAAGTTTGAACAGTCACTTGTACATTTTTATAACTAGGTATCATTATGTGCGAACCCGATTTTTGCATTTTTCATGGAATATCAATATTTTTGCCCATTAGCATCGGATTAACCCAACATCAGCGTCAAGATTTTAATTGGTGAAGGTAGCTGGATGCAAATACTTTGTAAAACGTTCCCTCTTTTGAGAGTAAAACTTTATTTTTATGGTAGAAGAACCCAATATGACTTTAACGGGATCCCCGTGATAGAGTTCGACATACTTCAAGAATAAGCTGTATTTGCAAATCGGCCTATCGCACATGCCGTTCAGCAAATTTTCAGCCATTTTTCGCTATAGTGTTCCATTGGCGATAATTCACCTACGAAAGACAAATTGCGTCATTTGAGTGCGGGTAACCGATGTTATCCATTCGAAGAGCAACTGCTTGAGCCTTTCACCATGCGAAAACAGCTGCGTTCCTTACGTTCACATGTTCAGATGTATCTGAAATACTTCATTCCGGGTTGACGAATTGTACCCAAACAGTTCAAATTCCTGTTCTGAGAGAGTTACTACTTCTTTTTCAAAGTGCAGATATACAAGACACCATTAATCAAGCAAAGTAATGTTCGCGTTGTTACCGTATTCGCAAAATTTAGCAAATCAGACTAAATTGAAAAAAAAATTCATGATTTTACATTATGCAAGTTATGAGTTACTGAGCGGGGGACTGCCGTATTTTTTGTTAGAGTAAAAATTAGCTGTCATTTCTCGACTAAAATGTACACAAAAAAGTCACTTATGCCACTCTCACGTCCTTTACAGGGAAGGATCCTCAATCGAATTGGCCTTGTCGGTACGGATGCATACCTTTTATAGGGGACTGAACTGATTTTATATCTTTCAATATGTGCGGGGCACCCCTGATGAGGAGTTATGAAAGTTTTATGAGTTCAATAACTGCCCTTGATCAAAATAAAATCAGTGCAGCCTTTCCTGTGCTTGCCATTCCAGTTCGCTATGGAATAATGGCAGCATGGGGGTAACAAGCAGAAAATTTTCTTTTCTCGGAGAGGTCACCAGTGTTCCATTTGAGCTCACGACTAGCTCGTAAATATGACTTTTTTCTGACTATGCGTTCATCTTTTAGCTACTTTTATAACTCCTCTCCAGAGGCGCTGCAGATAAGGAATAATTTGGAATCAGCGTTTGATGTTCTCCAAAAATGTGCATCTATTCTGCCACTCTGGAAAGGCCACTCTGACGGAAATCTTTCCCTTCTTAGTCACTGTTCCGATGACACTGCTGTGCCTTTTCTTTAGCGTGTAATCGGAAGGGAATGTGATGCTGTGCCTTTTCTTTAGCGTGTAGTCGTAAGGGAATGTGATTCTGACGAAAACAACAAACAAGCCATCATAAGTGATTGTGATTATGCGCATGTACTGTGAGGCTGTCATGTGCTTGCCCTTTAGATTCTTCAAGCGGGTGTTATATGAACACAAGAATGTGATCATACATTTCATATATTTATTTCTGAGATATTCATAAATAGTGAAATCAGGGAAATGAGGCCACAACTCTAGCTAATTTATCTATAGAAATGTAATATATGGGCTCTTAGCCTTGAATAGCTAGTAATATGCACAACCACTGTGTGGAATAGTAAAAGTGTACAATATACAATATGAACAGGCAAAATACAAAAGCTTTTGAAAAAAGAGCAATATGCTCGAAGTACCTACGGATGAGAGGACTCGAGCACTATGGCAGATTTAATGAGCCAAATTCATATAGATAGGTTTTGTCTGCATTTACAAGCCTTGCTGGCTTGTATCGTCTCTTTTCTTTGTTCATTTCGACATTTTGCACTTCTTTGCTTCGTTGGTCTGAAAAAAGAACATTTTGGAGCTGCTGGATTGATGAGACGTGGGTGGATGTACCTCCTTCCTGCGGCTTGGGAGCAATTTTCGGCGAAATTGCCGAGAAGAAATCTTTAGCAGAAGCCCAGAAACTTTGTGAAGTAGCCATAGCGTATGAGGATGCAATTTAAAAAACTGAAAAACTAGCATGAATCAGTGAATTCTCATCTGTGAGAAAGCAAACGATTGCGAATGAATAAATGTACTGAGCACAAGCTATAAATATGCAATGATTACGAATTCAAACAAACGAGTGCCAGGTGCTGGCTCTACGTTGGAACGTAAAAAGAAGTACGACAAAGATTTTCTTCTACGCATTAGTTTCGAGAAGGACGAGCACGAGTTGCACGTTAGCATTACGTGCTGAAATGTGGACAGATATAAGTAACAAAAAATGTGAGACGATAGCGAGTGAGTGACTCTCAGGCACGCACTTCAACTATAGAAAACCTGTCAGTTGAAAAAAAAAGCTATCGTGCTCTCCCATCAATGTTTGTTACGTAATTTTGAACTTGGAAAAAGAGTAGTGAACTCAAGTCCAGAAATTTTTCACTTCTTATCAAGCTGTTCAAAATTTTCCCAACTGCATTGAGATCTGTATCACCCACTGTGTCTACGGAAAAAAGTGTACGCTTCCAGTCTTAACACGTCAATAAGGGGTAAATCTAAAAAATTTTTTCGAGAGAGTGAAAGACTTCTTTTTCAACGGGGGGTGACGTCACTATAACTTCCGAAAATGCTTTTAACAAGCAGATTCCCAAATTTTTTTCTAATTTTTTAAAATTTCTTTTATCTGACACCGAAGTTTTCGAAGAAGTGGCAGCAAGACTAACTTTATTTCATAAATAATTGAAAAGTATCCTAAATTGAAAAGAGTGAACTAAACAATTTTTATGACTCATGTAGATTACTTTCAAAAACTTCGAGACGCGACTGCTTGACTATTATCTGCAGTTGCAAAAATTCAAAACGAAAAAATCGAAGAATTAGCATAACATGAGTAAAACCGATTTTTTACTATAGTTATTCAAGCGGTGCTCTGACAATTCTGAAAGAGGTTTAGTTCAAAAAAAACAAAGGTGCAAAAGTGCGTTTTGATTTCCTTCCGCATTGCTGCTCTACGGTATTGAATACCACGCAAACTCGGACAATTAACAGAACAATTTTTGGACGACAGATCCGATCATGAGAAAGAGAAGTGTAGACTCATTACAACCTTTCAAAAACAGCTGCAGTGCTCTCGCATGATTCTAATGATTCGGTCCTACGCTCAAGCACGGGAGTGTAATGAAAAACGTCTCTTTTCCAGTGATTTTCATTTCATGAAGTACATTCCATTCCTCCTCGTGCTTACTCGAAGTCAATGAGATAGAAACCATGTGTTTTTCCAGCTGAAAAAAGGAGAAGACCGATAACACAACAACAAAGTCACAATGTTAGCAGTATTAAACAAAAACATAAACATTGCCTAGCATGACTAAGGAACGGTTTTTTCTTAGAAACCAGCGCGTTCATTTCTCAGTTTTTTTCTTTTTCGCGTTTCTGGCAATCTCGGAGAAATTTGACGCAGAATTAATCTTTCCAGCAAATAGATTGAAGTGAGCAATTTATCAAGTCGTCAGTAATGGAAATGCATTACGGATTTTTACGTTCAAACGAATTTGCAAATTATGGAAAGCAAACTCGAGCGTAAAATGAACTGCGGAGTTTTTTTTTCTTGAAGTGCAGCCTGTCGAAGCCCGAAATATGATATTATTTGTACAGACACAGACTAATTCGAGACAATGGCATATGGGATAAAGTTTGATTCGCATTCAGATGGAAATTTCAGCCAAGTTTAGCCCAACAATTTAGCTAATTTGCAGTGAAGAAGGAAAAATTTAGAAAAATCACGGAAGAGCAATAGTGATAATGCGGAATTTGGAAAAGTAAATGACATAATCGTCACCTTGTTGAAGTTAAAATAGAATAGAATATGAAAGAATGGCTTTCTTCACAACTCAACCGCATCAGCGAAAGGTGAAAAGAAAAAGTGAAACTGAACCGATGGGATCCAGCTGTTGAGGACAAGCGTACGGACATAACAACAGAGCAAAACTTTGCAGTTGAGACGGATGATCGGGACCAGCACTTCAACCCCCCCCCCCCCACAGACAATTGATTGTTTGATCAATGGGCTGCTGTAACGTTGATCTGTACTGCATTTGAACTGAAGAATCCCGTGATACCACGATTGCACTAATTGTTAGTCACAGCAGAATTCTTTGTCGCAAAACAATTTAAAAAAAACTAATGCGGGAACAGGTTCATCGCTACCTCAAATTATTTTCACATTTAATTTCTTATCGTTTCTTTTCGCCCAAATTACTTGAGGTAGTTTCCATGAGACCAAGAATTTGCACTCGATTCAAAACCTGTTTTCTTTTACGAGAAGACAAATTGAACATAGACGGTTACGGATCAGTTAGACCATGATAATAACGAGAATATTGATTTAGTTAGGGGAAAGAGCCAAATAAAAGTAGAAAAAACTTGACTTGAATGAAAGGTAAGATAGGTTACGCCTCAAGATGCCCGAGAAAAAACACCTCATCAGAAATGATGTCAGCTAAACTCATATCAAAGCTAACGTTCTTTTGAGCAAATTGTTATAGATGGGGCTTCATGTGTTCTAAGTGATCACTGTCTTCGTACACAAAACCTGCTGGTTCATTGCAGCATGCTGGGGAAGAAGCTCAATGATCAACTTTTTGTGGGAGCTAATCACTGATCAGAAAAACAGAACTGTAAATGTTTATGATACTAACTCTGGCAGCTGCAGAAACGTTGTCGGCATCTGAGCAATCAGAGCAATCAGTTGTACATTGCGTCAATTCTCGATGGTACTAGTGAGGTTGACTAATTGCTTATCTCAGCTTATTGGTAAAAAAAAGCCTGCCGGTAATTCATGAAGTGCGAGTGTTCTCTAATGCGGGGGTGTACAAACCTTTTCATTATTGTGGATCGGGACAAATCAAGTATGCTGAAGACAATTGTAACTCATTATGTGAGTTTGCACACTGTGCGACCGTCACATCCTTACTAGTAAGTCCTTATTACCTTTTCGAGGCATGACTAACTATAGAATGTGTGCCACTAAATATTAAAAAATAATAATAAATAATAACAAATACTAAATGATAATAAATATGATAATGAAAAAATAATAAATAAAATAATAAACAGATATTAATAATGAATTAAAAAATAGATAAAATAAAATAAATAATAATAAATGATAAAATAATAAAATTCAAAAATAAAAGAAATTGAAAAAATAAAAAATAAAAATAATATGAAAATAAAAAATAGTTCAAAAAATAATAAATAATAAATAAAATAAATAATAGTAATTAATATTAATAATAAATATGAAATAGAACCAAAACAGATAAGGGAAAAAGGAGTGATCACTTGAAAAGAGCAGCTCCTAAACTTACAAGTCGTCAAGAAATGAGCGAGGTGTGCAATACGCATACTCCGTTGAAAATGGCTCGACAATCTTGCATGATTTTGCATTTTATGGCGTCTACTTATTAGGATAATTTCCAATCGTAAGGAGTTCGTTTGCTATCGACCTACTTGAGAAATTAGTGTAGTTTTACATGCCGTATATCGAAGGCCCTGAAAATTTTTAAATCACAAATATTTTTCCTACAATCTGATATCCTTTTTATTCTCTTTACACATTGCACCACCTGCGCAGGATTTACCTTCTCAAAAATTTTCGTACGTCCGAATATGAGTAGAGTAATCAGAATCCTATGAGTTCAAACATGGTTGAATATTCTAAACAGAATGCTGAGATGCGCACTTTTTGGACTAGCACCAAGTGTCACATTTTTTAACGGGTAAAAAATTGCTTCAAAGATCCAAGTGTGAGAGGTTAAGCCAAGAGGAACCATGCTGCGAATGAGACGAGATGAAATGCCGAGCGCATCCTGAATATGGATGTGGAAAACAATCAGTATGCTCTGCCCAGTACCATCTGTGGTCAGCCTAAGAGAGCGAAACAAAAAAGCTTCAAAGTAATACTTTCAAAATTATTGTGTTTTAGTTGAAGAAAAAGGTGGAGTTGATTGATTACGTTGTCTATTCATTGCTGAGTGAGTGCAGTCAAAAACTTGTTTTGGTGCAAAGTCATTAACACAAAAACAGAGCTCAACCGAATCTAATTATGTACTGGTTGTTTGAACTAGTACTAGGTAGGGTAAGTTTAATAGGTTCAAGAAGACAATAATCTGTTGAAGTAAAATGCCGTTATGGTCTGACATTAGCCACGTAATGGTTCTACAAGTCAGATTATACAGGGTGTCCCAGAAGTAAGTACACACTTTTCAATCGTCAATATCTCTCTTCCCAATGGATCTTTTTTTGTTACTCAAGTACCATTCTGTAGAGGAGGTTTCAACTTAGAGTTACAGTATCAAGCGAATCACTGATCGCTCTTCGTTACTGTAGGATCACGGTACTTCCAGCATTGGAAACCATTGTGAAATATGACATCTGACAAAATTTTTTTCAAAAAATTTGAAAAATCGTGTACTAGGGTTTTCGCGTACGCTGATTCCACTAAACAACTTCTTGTTTTCAGATTTTTTGACGGTGTAATCACATTTCTGACAAATACTGGAAATTCGGTTATTACGATTTACCTGGGATAACTTCGGAAAGAAGCATCATAGTAATGTGGAAATTTCTTATTCGAAATCAGCGGCTTCCATTACCGTAGTTTGAGAGTTTTGGGTTTGTTCGGTTTTGTTCCGAGGCGGAGCATAGCTTCCATTAACTAAAATCCTTATCGAAGTTTCTACAGTAATCCTACAGTAATGAAGAGCGATCGGTGATTTGTTCGATATAGCAAATCTAAGTTGAAGCTTCGTCTACAGAACGGTACTTAAGTGGCGAAAAAAGACTTAGTGGAAAGAGAGATATTAATGATTGAAAAGTGTGTACTTACTTTTGGGACACCCTGTATTATATTGTAAATCGGTGCGTCAGCCGGCAATTTTTTTTTGTAAGACTGAATTTTTAGATTTTAAAAATTCTTTCAATTATCTACAAGTTTAAACAAGTTACTTGCACATTTTTATAACTCATGTGAGTAACTCTCAAAAAT